AGGTAAGGTTTTTTATATTATTTAGTAATGACATCAATAAATTTAATGAACTGTTTTTAAATTAAATAGAAATAAAAAATAAATATTAAATATTATTTGTGTAATTACACAAATAATATTTAATCATTATCAATATTTAATCAGCAGTAGATCAAAACGATTCAAAAATATTTACAATAATTTTTCTTGTCCTATGGGATCAAATTTAAACATGAAATGCAAAGAAAAAATAACATGTTTTCAGGAAAATGAATAATTGTGTCTTCTTAGAAAAATTGTAAACATCTGGAAGTCCTGTGGTTAAAAACTATGCTATTGGAGAGGATAAATTATTATTAAAATTTGTGAAGCTTCACAAAAAATAGCTATCAATAACCAAGGGAAAATTGCTAGTTTGGAAAAAGAAAACCAAAGAAAAGTTAGTTGAAGAATTTCAATCAATCATGGAGACTCTTTTTGACATTGGAAAACCCAATATTAATGAGCTTATACAACTCAGTCAAGATATGCCAAGAAACAAAGAGTAAAGAGGAAGATTTAGCATTTTTGGAAGATCAGAAAAATGCTAGAAAACAGTTTATAAGCGGGCATATAGATAAAAAACTTGAAGCAAAGATTGAACGTAGACAAGAGAGACACCGTAGGTATACAGATTATAAGAAAAAAATGTCAATAGAGACCGATGGAGATGCCCAATATCATAATGACGAGAACTTTGATTACTTAGATTTAAAAGAACCCTTTGTTAAAAATGTTGATGGAAATTATTCTAATGAAATAAAATCGAATTAATTAATTTTTATCATTAAAATTCGAAATTGTATAATTCACTTGTGTATTGTATATTACTTTATTGAACAAGCTGTCATTATGCTTCTTTATTTTCAATTTTTGTTAATACTATTGTAGATCTTTCAAATCTGATATTAATGTTATGTAATACAAATTATAATTTTGATGAGGTTGAATAAAACGTTGAATAAACGTAGTAAAAAAAAACGTCAGACAACGCTAAAAAAAAAAGTAAATTAACGACATAACACTCATGCTTTGATCCGATTCAATCCTTGTTAATAAAAAAAATGCTCAAGATTTGCAGCTATAACTCCTAAGGACCAGTTTAAGCTACCGAGATCAAACAATGTTTATAGCCAGTAATATGAACTATCTTGGAGTAAATATAAAAAAATTTAAGATAAATAGAGAAACAGTCAGGTTGAAGCGTTATGAGGTTGTTCAAAATCACAAAAATGAAATTAAACAGAATTCTATTGAGGAAATGAGACGAAAAAAACTTGTCTTTCACTTTGATGGCAAACTAGTTACACATTTTTATAAGGAAATTAAACAAACAGTTACACGAGATAGAACTGCTGTGTCTGTTACTAGTCCTGAATTTTAACACAAGGAAAATCTTCTTTTAAGAATTGTTCCAAGTGACACAAGTAAAGCATCTGATCAAAAAGCATCTGATCAAGCTTTAGTAATTCAAAATTTGTTAGAATACTTTTAAGTTTCAGACCAAGTATTTGCTGTGTGTGTTGATACAACAGTACCCAACACTGGTAGGAAAGAGGGTGCAATTATAATATTGACAAGAGCATTTCAGATTTCAGAAACAGTGCCGGATAAAGGAAGGGGGGGGCTAGGGGCTATAGCCCCGGGCCCCGCAATTTTAGGGGCCGCAAAAAATTTTAGAGGACCTCTTTTTTTTTTTTTTAAGTCATTCTTAGGCTCTGGCCCATAAAAAGGCCTCCATAAACAAAAATTGCCCCGGGCCCCAAAAAGTCTTAATCCGCCACTGTTCAGAAACCTTTATTGTGGCTATAATGTCGGCACCACATACATGAAATAGATGTTAAACATATTTACAAACCAGTAACTGGAGAACACCAAAGGTCTGCAACAGGCACTCTACTCCTACTTTAAGAAGCAATGGCTAAATTTTGTTCTATTTTTATCTACTTGTGGTGCCTCTTTTAGTTTTGATTGAAAAATTCCAGAACCAATTTGAGAATACTCTCATAATTGGTTCTGGAATTCATCAGATGTACTTGTAGGCGAAGACATATTAAATTTGTTCTTGAAATTTTACCCCAAGATGATTACAGGCATCTTGTGGAATACTTAGCTTTCTATCATAATATTCATTAGTAAAGGAAACAAAAATTTGGATGGAAGCATGCCAGAATAAAGAAGGTTTAGACTCAAAACTCTTGTACGAGAAATTTGTCCTTTTTATTAAACACCTCAGCGTCACAAACAACTGTTTTGAAAGAAACATTGGACTTACACAAAAGTTTGTGAACTTAATTGTTTGAGAAAATCGAAAACAGATTTCAAAGAATATTTATCAAAAAGATTTTGTTAATTTAAATTAGATATTGTTATTTATTATATTGTTGTAAATGCAAACATGCGTTATTTGTTAAACTTTTTTTGTTAATTATCTCAGATCGAAGTTAATAATACTAATAATATAAAACAGTAATTATACAAACTAAAATTTGCTAGTTAAAAAAGTGCAAAAAATTGTCACCCCTAGTGCACTTGATGTTAGAATGTGCAATGCGTACTGTTAATTAGGTCACCTAAATAATGTACGTTAACAAAGACTTAAGAATTCTTGGTATTGTGGTTTAACCTCCTCCGGCTAATTGCCATATAGAGGCCACATTACCAAGGCCCGCAAAGACAAGTTGAGCTAATTAATAGCGTCATAACTCGCTCTACGGACAAAGAGTAAGTTGAGTTTGGGAAGAACGAAGATATATTAGAGTAAAAGACAGTCGTGTTAGTAAGATAGCATAGAGAAAGCGGACAGGAATTGCACACGATGTTAGAAGGCGCAATACGTACTTTTACTTAGGTCACTTAATTATTGTACGCCATCAAAGACTTGAACGGAGTCTACTTAATATGACTCTTCCCTTAACTTTCTTTGTCGTCTTAAGAGTTTTTGGTATTGTGGTTTATCCTCCTCCAGCTAATTGCCATATAGAGACCACATTACCATGGCCCTCAAAGACAAGTTCGGCTCCTCAAGGAGCGTCATACGGACGGACCGAGAGTAAGGTGATTTGGGAAGAACGAAGATATGTTAGAGTGAAAGGCAAAAGTAGTCGAGTTAGAAAGATAGCGTTGAGAAAGCGCACTTAAATGCGAAACGTACCGTTAGCTAGGTTAACCTAAGGTACGCCAACAAAGTTTTGATTGGAGGTCACTTAACATGAACTCTTCCTCAACTTTCTTCGTTGTTTTAAGAAATTTTTATCAATTGGCTTAATTATTTAGAACATGTTGAACAAGAACCTTTTATATGAAAATATACTACTAAATTGCTTGCGGGTTTGTTTTTAAAAATAATATTTATTTATTAATACATCTTTTCATTTTCAAAATCGGCTAATATTGCTAGTGGGTTTGTAATCTTTTTTAGTAATATAATTTTCTCTCGTTCATAAATAAATATTTTCATTTTTAAAATTGGCTAAGACTGCTCGTGGGTTTGTATTTTTTTTTTTTAATACTTTTTTTTTGAAATAAAATTTTTTTCAAATAAAATTGAAGAAAGAAAATTCCAACATAATTTTGTTTAATAATAATAATATAAAAATGTACTACAAATGTGGAAAGACGAAAGTGACAATGCAAATGAAATACTTTTACTTTATGTTATTTTACTTTTATATTTTATATGAAATTTTTTTATCCTTTAAAAAAAAAAAAAATATTCCGCTCTTTTAATCTGGAAATACTCCGTTTCTTTAATAAGGCTAAAAAGCTCAATTTAATCACTAAAGGCCGTTTTCCACAAGACGAAAAATTCGCGCGAAGCGAATTTTTTTGTCGTTAAGCATGCGCAGATTAAACATTTTTGGTGATTATTCTGATTTTTTTTCGCAGCGAAAAAAAAAGTCGGATTCATTTCGACTTTTTGCGAATCGCCATAAGCGAAAACCAATAAAATTTTGAATATTATATCACGTGATGTTAACATTATAAAAAAGCGAAAACATGTTGTTTTTAAAGTAACAAAAAACAAAATTCATAACCTGGCGTTCTTATTTATTTTATATGAACTTACTCTGAAAATTGGCTAGCATGAGTAAATTTATCAAACAAGGGGCAAGACTTACATAAAAAAATGACCAGACTTATATATAAAACTAAATCGAAAATTTACAAATATAAATTTTCACACGAAAGTTACACTTCATAAGAATGTTTATCTTCAAATGGCCACACGAAGATAAACCTTTTTTTGAAAAATTTTTTATAGAGTTAAACCTGCTGTTCGTTCTTGCAGTAATAGTTTTTAATAGAAATGTTCATATAAGAGTTTAGCATTTATTTTCTTATACTTTCTCGTAAAAAAAAACCTTATATTAAACGATTATATTACAAAATAATATCACATCTTACATATAAAGGCAGAAATGTTAATATTAATGCACGGAAAAAAATTTTCACATGCTTCAAAGTATGCTAAAAAAGTATTAACTGCCTTCAGTTAAACATACAGCGTAAACTTATTGCTGCCATTTTTATTGTTGACAACGAAAAAAAAAGTAGCGCGAAAGAAAGTAAGTGAAATCAAAACAGCGTTTCGTCGTAGCGAAAAAATTCGCTTCGCACGAATTTTTCGTCTTGTGGAAAACGGCCTTAAGGTCTTGACAAACTCATCGCTAAATATCGTAACTCTTTGTAAATAGAAAATAAAATATAGCAAAAACATCTTTTTTGTATTAAAAAGTGAAAAATAAACTTTTGAATTTAAATTTATTAGTTTAGTAAACTAAAGATTGACCGGTATGTTTCTATATAAATCCTGTCAATCTTTAGTTTAGTTCACTATTAAATTTGAATTAAAAAGTTTATTTTTCACTTTTTAATACAAAAAAGATTTTAATTTTTAGCAAATGTTTTTGCTAAAATTTATTTGATACCACAATCAATCCGTCTTATGAATCACTGACTGCTAGAAAAAACTACTAACGAACTTTAAAGCAATTAGATTTTATCGTTGTGTAATATCGTATGCTTTATAGATAACTAAATATTAAAAATAATTAAAAAATAATAATTCTGGAGAACAAATAAAAACTAATTTGTAAAAAAAAAATCAATAAAATCGCTTCTAGATTTACAATACAACAATTTTTATAAAAAACATTTTTTTACAAAATACAACTTGTTTTTATAAAATGCATTAACCTAGTTAAAAAATCCTATAGGATCCTATAGTGTCTTAGTATAATTGAGTTTGACACTTAAACTAAAGCAAATAAAGTTTGTCTATAACTTTATTTTCATACAAAATCATATAGGTTCCTTAGAAGTTTTTGACTAAAGAATGTCCTTAGATTTCACTCTATAAATATATTTGTTAAAAAACATTTTTATTTTTTATAATTAATAAATTTTTTTTCCGCGTAAATGTTGCATAATACATTTAATAAATATCAAAACAACGGATTACGCCAACCGTAAAACAACGCCTTACGCCAACCGTAAAACAACGCCTTACGCCAACCGTAAAACAACGCCTTACGCCAACCGTAAAACAACGCCTTACGCCAACCGTAAAACGTCAACTTGAAATACTAAAAATCGCTAAAATTGAAAAATAACAACAAAAAAATTATATGACAAATGAAATAGTTCATAAAATATGTACGGAATTTTTTGAACAGTGTAGAACTATAAATTTGGTAAAATTTCAAAAAATTTTTATTCACACGCTTTAAACTTTAAAAAAATTGCGTACTTTATATACATCACCATAAATATTTTCGATTTTCTAAAATAAATATCAAAAATTGCACTAAACATGCACTGCATGACAAAATAATGGGTTATAAAACTATTGATAAAATTGTTGATTTTATTTCTAAATAGATGTAGATCTTTGTTTTTCTCTAAGTATTCGATCCCATATTCTTGATCTTGATCCGACACTATAAAAAAAAAAGTTTAAAAAAATAAATCGACGACCTAACTTTAAAAAATAGATGCCTTCAATAACATTGGATAGCAAAGAGAGAGCAAAAATTTAACTTCACCAAAATTATACAAGATATAGAATACGTTTTAAAGCTTCTATTTAATTTATAAAGGAACCTAATTCCTAGATCTCTCAAATCGTCTTTAGTAAGCCGACAAGAAACGTCTTCAAAGGTGCAGTTATTTAAATGAAACTAAAAAATAAAACGACAGTTTAAATTTTTTTTTTACATTTATATATCACAGTATAAAGCATTTTTTACTGCAATATATATATATTTTTTCAAGTAGACCCGTTAACAAAATTTTGGTGTTAAGTAAATGTATTTTTACCGTACAATTTTATTAGGATTACCCAAATTTAAAAAATCCTATAGAATATTGAATAAAATTAAATTAATAATTAAAACTTTTTAAACTAATTTGTATAATGGTAGTCACAAAACATGTGATTTTTTTTTCTTCATTCTAAAATCTTTTAGAATGTTTTCTTTCTAAAATCCTTTTGAATTTTGTGACTAAAGTAATATTGAAACTGCGAGAAAAAAAAAAAAAAAAAAAAAAAAAAAAAGAATAAATGCAATGATTATTAAAAAAATAAAAAATAAAAAAAAAAAGTTACTTTTTGAATATCACTTTGCGGAACTCCTAAAGTTTCAAGCCAATGAGTAAGGGCACTGTCTTGTTCTTCAGCAAAATTAATTGGAGCATTTTTCTCACTACTAATAAAATTTTAAAGAAAAACTTGAAATAATTTTTATATGTGTAAAGTATTTTAATTTAGCAAAACACTGATTTGTACAGAAATATTCATAGCATAGGCTAACATTGCACACACACACAGATATATATATATATATATATATATATATATATATATATATATATATATATATATATATATATATATATATATATATATATATATATAAATTTAAAAGTAACGAAAGAATAATTTTGAGTTTGAATATCTCCCAAACAAACAGTTTTTTGTACCAGAAACATGTTTGAGGAAAAGAGTTTCTGAAAATGTGTTTGCAAAGTGTGGTGTTTCCCAGTCGTCTGTACGTTGAATGAATAAGAACATTCAATTAAATCAGTCTTCCGATGTTGCTCGGAAAGAAAATTGTGGCAGAAAATCTTTGGTTACTAAACGAGGGAAGAGGATACGTTGCAACACTGCCATGGAATATCGAAGAGCAAGCCATACCACAATGCAAAAAAAAGTTTGCTTAGGCTGGATGCAGTGTATCTGTTGCAACTGTTAGGCAAAATTTGTACGAACTTGGTTACAAATGTCAGAGACCTGTCAAGAAACCTAAGCTCACACCTGCTATGGTGAAGAAGAGGTTGACTTGAGCCAATGCTCATAAACATTTATGCATCGAAGATTAGTGTATAGTAAGTTAATTTAAAACTTAAATTTTTCTTTTCATTTAATTTAATTGAATATTTTGTTCTATTGCAGACATGCTTCTGTGATGAATCAAGATTCGAAATTTTAAATGACAAAACTCAATTTGTTAAGCGTCAGTCTAATTAAAAAAATAACAGTAATTGCATTGTTAAAAGTCATATTGTTAATAAATAAATGAATCGTTTGTGTGAAAACCCAAAAAAACTCGTCTAAAGAAATATTTCACGGCGCAATAAATGACGCTTGTTATGTATATATTCTTGCAACATTAACATTACAAATAAATATATATATATATATATATATATATATATATATATATATATATATATATATATATATATATATATATATATATATATATATATATATATACATATATACCATTTACGTTATTGCTAACTTAACTTATTATTAAATATCCTTAATAATAAAACATACCATTAAATTCATTGTTAAACAATACATCTCATTTCACCTTTCTTTCAACCTAAGCACATTTGCTAGACTTAAAACGAACAAAATTTACATTACCCCATTACCTTACTTGAAATAGTACAAACCATTGATTTCATAAATTTTTTCTGAAATGCCACACAATTTTTTCTGTTTGCTTCCTCCTTTTTTACAACAAACAACTTGAGTTTTTTTTTCATTTTACTCTTTTCATTTTACTATATTTTTTTCATTTTACTATATTCAACTTTTCAATACTTTCAATTCTTCGAACCAATTTTGCTTGCTTCCACAATTAAGCATAAATCATCTGGGTTATACAGCTTCTGTGCTAAATCTAAACTCTTTTGAAAGAAGTCTGGACACAACCATGAATAACAAAGCAATAATATGATGAAATGCTCAAGTATGCCTGAGTATTGATTAAAAGCATATTCACATAAGCTATTTCGCTTTTTCACTTAAGCTACTTTGCTTTTTAACACTTATTATTTATTTTTTTAAATTTAAATTTAATGTAGTAACGGTGTAATTTAATTTAAATTTGAAAGAAAAACTGAAAAAAATTGTAAAAATATAAAAAAAACAATACTTTACGCAAATATTAAAATAAACTTTCTAGCATACCAACTTCAAATGTTTTAAAAGTTGTTAAAACTTTATTCTCATAAAAATATACTTATAAAGTAAAATATAAAGTCAAACTTACTAAATTGACTTCAAAGTGGTCACGCTTTCCAATTTCAAATGCAAAACTTTATTTAGTGTTTCCTGCATTTCAACTAACTCTTCTAAAAGCCTAGGTTAAGCATAAATTGTCAAAAGCTTTATGTTTAAAGTAATGATCAATTATAAACATAAAACATCATTCAAACAATAGTAACAATACTTGAAACCATAGTAACAATGCTAATTTGTATTAGCATTAAAATACTGTTACCAGACATAACCATTTAGAAAACATACCCCATGTTTTCTTCTGCAAGAATTCTGTTTTTCTCCAACAAAACTGAACGATCATCAATTGAGACACTTTCTCGACTTAAAAACTTGACATATTTTCTTAAATGTAAAGAATCTCCATTTGAGTTGTTTTCACTGCCATTTAAATTTTGGTGAGGCTTCATAACTAAAAAAAAAACAAAACAAGAACACATATACTTTCACATCACATTGCATGTTTTTTCAATTTTTGCCACAATTAAAAAAAACATACCTTCAGTGATGTCTTCAAGCGTTTTTTTAACAGCATTTCTGATAAGATCATCAATTGCAAACAACCAATGAGGCAAAATGTGCACATGAAGACGAAGGATGTCTGAAATCTGTGACAAATAAAGATTTATTTTACTGGTTGAAAGTATGTACATGGCTGCTAATCAATTTGAAAGTATGTGTATAGCTGCCAAAAATTTTTGTACAAGCGATAAACTTTTAATATTTTCTCTGATTTTTAGTTTAATTGAACATGAAGAAATTAAATCGTATTATAAAATAATAATAACTATCAATCACATAATTATTTGGAAAAAAAAAATGCTGAAGTAAAATGTTCGTTTTTGAAAATTTTAAGCAACGCTAACGTTTGCTTAACTAAAGTAGAAACAGGAAGTTCGTTTTTCTGTCTTTTTTTAAACAAACATTCGTCGATTTGTTGCACTCTGATATATTAGGGTATCCCAAAAAATTAAATTTTATACAAATATATATATATATATATATATATATATATATATATATATATATATATATATATATATATATATATATATATATATATATATATATATATATATATATATATATATTATTTTATAAACATCAATAAATACGATTTTCTCTCAATACTAAATTTATTTTTTATTTTTTAAAAGAAATTTTCGCTAGGGGCACATTGGTGGTACTGTATTTCAAGCGCCTCAGTACCACCAATGTGCCCCTCAACAAAGTGGTATCAATTTAGATGAGGGACAATATGTGTCAACAAAATTCTGGACACCATTTCTAATGCACTTACGTCAGAAAAAGACGAAACCATTCCATTGACATATAATAAAATTGCCGTTTAAAAATAACATATAAACAAAAACAAACAAAATCTTTTAAGCTGAAGACGCTGGTCACAACAATCCAGCGAAAATTTCTTTTAAAAAATAAAAAATAAATTTAGTATTGAGAGAAAATCGTATTTATTGATGTTTATAAAATAATAATTTACATACTCTCATACATGATGTCTACATTCAAATATATATATATATATATATATTATATATATATATATATATATATATATATATATATATATATATATATATATATATATATATATATATATATATATATATATTAGATATAACACCATAAAAAAATGAAGTTTAATAACTAAAAAAAAAGTGCATTTTACTAATTTTTTTTTACAATATATTTTTTTTCAATAAGTTTTTTAGTAATAGTTAGTAAGTAGCTGATCAGTCGGATAAAATTTGGATAAAAAGTAGCTGATCTGGAGGAGTAAAACTTTTTTTAATCTTAAAGATTAAAAATCTATAAGAATTGAGAAAGCAGAAAAGTTGGTTTCACTATTCAATCAAACAAATTTGGAATAAATAGATTTATTGGATTAAATCTTTAACAGTTTGTAATCGTATTATAATTAACAGTCGTATTATACATAACAGCCATAATATAATAACAATCATATTATAATTAACAGTTGTATTATAATGACAGTTTGTAATCATATTATAATTAACAGTCAATCTAGAACTAACTGTGAATTTGAAACATTAAGTTTTGTCTGTCAGCCATTAAAAAAAATTTAAAACTGATTTAACTACAATTTAAATTATTGAAAGTGTTTTAAAGTTTTTTTTTCTTCAAAAAACTAAAGAAAATAAAAATAATTATACTACTCCGATTAAAAAACTTGAAAAATCACTCACAATATCAGCAACAAGGTGGAAAGCCAAATGTATTTCATTCAACACTCCATCAGCAAACTCAGGATGATCTCTTTCAATTGGCCCTAAAGTAATCAAAATTTTTTATTTTTATAAAATTAACTAGCGTACAAAAATTAATAAAGACAATGATGAAGATGACAATAATAAAGACGACAGCAATAAAAATGACAATGATGAAGATGACAATGATAAAGACAACAATGAAGAAGATGATAATGATGAAGATGATAGTGATAAAAATGACAGTGATGGAGATGACAATGAAGATGACAATGAAGAAGACAAAAATGAAGAAGATGATAATGATAAAGATGACTATGATGAAGATGACAATGATAAAGAAGATAATGATGAAGATGACAATAAAGAAGATGACAATGATGAAGATGACAATAATGATGATGACAATGAAGAAGATGACAATGAAGAAGATGACAATGATGAAGATGACAATGATGAAGATGACAATGATAAAGACGACAATAATAAAGATAACAACAAAAAAGATGACAATTATGAAGATGACAATATTGATGCTGTTGATTTGATCACTACAAAATTTATTTGAAATATAAATTATATTATCAGATTTGTATTGTTTCTATGAATAATGTAAGAGACAATAATAGAAATTTGCATCACTGTATCAGATACACATTTTGTTATAACCCCCTAAACTTTTATTAAAACAAGTATTAAACATACTAATAAATTCTTTTATATCAACATCAGCAGGATTCTCAATGTAATGAGTCAATGCTTCTAGTAATAGTGCACACGCTGTTTCTTTTAAAAAACATTCAAATTTTGAATTCAAGTCAGCAATTTTTTGCATCCAGCTATCAATGATCTATAAAAATAATCATCCTTTAAAAAGAAAAAAATATCAAGCAAAAATAAAAAAATACTTTCTTTTGCTTTTGAATGTGAAAAAAAAAAAAACATTAACATAGTTTAAAGTAGAGTTGTTAACAGGGCTATTACACTGTCACTAATACTCAGTATATGAAAGAATTTTTACTGCAAATTGCAAATAATTATCTCAACAAATATACAACTTTTTTTTATTCTGTAAAAAGTATTATTTATAACACATAAGAACAGTAGAAAAGTATTATATTAAGTAATTTAAAATGTTTTTACTCGAATCATACCTTATTACTTTAGAAAAAAAATGTTCAAAAAGTTTTTTTTTTTTTTTTTAACAGATTATTTCTTAAGTATTACTCTCAATCTCTCAAGATATACAACTTATGATGCAACTTTTTTTTATTCTGTAAAAAGTATTATATAAACAATACTTTAGAGAAACAGAAAAATATTATATTGAGTAATTAAAATTTTTTTTACTCGAATCGTAACTATTACTTTCAAAAAAAAAAATTCAATTTTTTTTTTTAAATTTTGAACAGCATATTTTTTTAAAATAAAGCTCAATATTAGATCATTGTGTAAGTTGTTACAGACTGTAACAACTTATCAATAAATAATATCAATACATCGTACTGTTTTACATTGTGTTAGTTACATCATACTGTCATACATTGTGTAAGTTGTTACAGTCTGTAACAACTTACACAATGAGAAAAGGATGTGCTTTGATGAGAAAATATACAGTGGCAGGTCACGGTAACTTACAGTAGCGCGCCACTTAAACAACTTACATAATGAGGAAATGTTAAATTTACTACGCAATGGTGTAGCGAGAATATTTGCACCCAGGGCAAAAATGTAAAAAAGAGCCTTTTTAACAATAAAATTAAAATATATTACTTTTTATAGTAAAATACACTTTTTTTTTTTTGCTTTTCGTTTTTTTTGGCGCCCCTTTAAGCCTTCGAGCCCGGGTGCAATTTCCAACTCGGCTCCCCGCTACATTACTGAGTTGGTAAAAACAAATAGCAGATTTTTCTCACAAATTGTTCACTTAATACAATTTAATGATAAAAAAATACTACAGAACAAAATATTACAGGCAAGTTGTTTTTATTACAGGCAAGTTGTTTTTGTTAATTGTTTTTTTTTTTTTTTTTTTTTTTTAAAGTATAAACAATCTTTACTCTTTATGGAATAATTGAGATTTTGAATAAACAAGTTTTCTGTTAAAAAAAGTTTAGAATTGTAAAATTACAAGAATGCGTTGAGAATTTCTTGAAAATGAAACTTACAAAATCTTATTTGCTTATAAACGCGAGCAACTAAACATATAATTTTTTAATATAATACGAGGCAACTTGTTGGTAAATTTGTATTTGAATCCATTATTCGGTGCGTTACGCTATTGAAAAGTTATAGGGAAATGTTAGAGGATTTAAAAAAAATGTTGTGTGATGTTCTTAACGATTTAAGTAGCGGATTTCAACAAACATATTGCAAAGCCTTTAAAACACAATGCATAAAAAATTATGTCAAAAGCTTTTGTAGTTATCACGCAAAATACATTTGAATATAGCTCATTTTCTAGCTTTTTTATAAAAAGTTTTATTTTACCAGTAAAATATTGATTTTGATTGTTAAAATAATGAAAGTTATTTCACTTCAAAAAAAATTATTTATTTATTAATATTGTTTGGTTATTTAACTGCACAATAAAAAAATAATGAAGACTATTGAAGAAAGATTTTAAGAAGAAATATATTTTAAGATCTAAAAATTAAACAAAAGATTAAAAATCTTAGGTTAAACGAAAATATGAGCAAAACTTCTGTTCAATTTGATTTTCAAGCTGAGCGCAAGGCCAAAAATTAAGGCCAAGGCCTTTAATTTTTGGCCTTAAGGCAAGGACAAGGCCAAGGACTAACAACTCTGATTTGAAGTCAAATTTACAAAAACAGTCTTCATATACAAAAAAACAAACAAACAAAAAACAACAACAACAACAAAATCATAAAACAATTATTTGACATTGGTGTTTAATGATTATTTTTTATTTTTTAAATTTATATAAGGTAGCACAATAAGAAAGACTCCAGCAATACAATAAAATATCAATTTAAAAACAAAAATGAGAATTCTACAAAACCTGCCGAAAAACAAAATGGCTAACAAATGATGATCTTTAACACTTGACTGGCCAATTAATGATCCTTCACACTTAACGAAATTTCAAACCTCCATAGAAACCAAAAATCCTAATGTTTAATATAGATGATTCATCATGCACTAATATTTTGGCTTCACCCACATATTTAACCAATAATTAAAAAGAAGATACAAAAATATGATATCCATGGATTTAAAAAAAAAAAAAGATAAAAAACATGGTATAATTTTTTATTAAAAAATTGTCCTAGTCATTAATTGCAGTCATTCTTTGTGATTCATTGAAGAAAAAAAAGAAAAGAAAAACTCATTAAAAATAATTGAAAAATGAAAATTATTTTTTCAACACTTGAATATCAGTGCCTTGTGAAAATATTAAAAAAGCATTCCTTGCTACAGGTCTGAAACTGTTTATTTTAAACATTTTTTTTTAATAAAAGGCTAAATTTCATGTATCAACAACTATTCAAAGATCTTTTTATTAACTCAAGCACAATAGAAACATTGGAAAAACATTTAAAAAATTAGGATCAAACTACTTGTTTACCAAGATCACCAAGTAATGAAGTAGACTTGAAAAATGATATGCAACCAAAACCAAAAAATTGACAAAAAAAATGGTTTGAGTGGTCTAATTTTATTGACCAGAACCATAATCTGGGAGATTTCCTATAAAATATAAGTTCATTAAGAATATCTTAATTAGAGTGGTTAAAAACTCACTTCTTGCTTGTAGGATTTCATTGATTTAAGGAGAAGACCTTTGCATTCATGAGCTTTGTTTACTTGGTAAAAATCATCAGAAGAATGATCAAATAATGAACTCAAAGATCCAGATGAAGGACTGTCTAGACTATTCGCTCTAAAAAAATAAAAAAAATTGTTTGAAAATATATATAGCTATAATATATATAATATATATATGCGTGTGTGTGTATGTGTGTGTTTGTGTACATATAATTTTAAGTGAATGATTTGATTTTATTTCTACCCATATGTTTTTTGAAACTTAAAAAACTTGAAATTGACAAAAATTTACTAAATTTTTTTGGCAATGTTTATAAATAATAATATAAATAATCATTCATTTATAAATAATTGTGACACCATCAATGTGGCATCATTCTATGCAAAACTGTTAAATGGGTAAAACAAATATAAAAAATATCTTTTTTGTTAAAAAAACATAAAACAAAAAATATCTTTTTTGTTTTACGTTTTTTTTTGTGACTCTGACTTGACCGAGTCACGAAAAAAACACAAAACAGTTTGACATTAAACAGTGATGTTAACTAAAAATTTCGAACTTAAGAATTCAAATAACTAATGATATACCAAAGAAAATTTTTTAAAAATATCTGCTTTATTTAACAATTTAATTACTCTCAAAGAAAAACAGCAAACTTAATGTTTTTATGATGACATTAAACAGATGCGAAGCAAGACTTGATAACAAAATACCCCTACAATGTATAAGAGGTAGAAAATGTGACCATGCATCACTAAGCTTAAAGATAAGCAAACAATTTATAACATTTGTGTTGAAAACCAAATAAAAAGTACAAAAAACACATACTAAAATTACACAAGAAGCAAGTATAAAAATTTCAATTAAAACTATAAAATGTTGTATAGCAGAATTAAGTTAAATGCTGCAGACTCACAAAGAAACCTAAGTACCAGCAAAACAAACTGTGTTATGGAGATAATGTTATTGAAATATCCTCTAAAGGTGTGGTAGTTATAAGTGGTAAGAGCAGTAGCCTTCTTTATATATTCTTATAATCAAAGAGATGATGAGCCAGGATCAATATAAAAAAAGTATTAGCAACCAAATCTATTCCACATTTACATGACTGGTTTCTTGATTTGCCCAAATGCCTTTTTAAGCATCATACTTCTCTGTGTCATGAAAGCTAAGTCTGTGACAACATATTGTCGAGAGTAAAAACTGTTTTACTGTGACCAGGCAATTCTCCAGACTTAAACCCAAAAATAATTACCTGTTAACTGTCAAAGATTAAAATTAGGGGGGATACATTACCCAATGAAGACCTAATGATTAGGAACTAAAAGTAACTGAATTGTAGCTTAAACAATGTAATGTCAAGAAGGATACAAGCTAAAATTGTCGCAAAAGGCAGATTAACTAATTATTCAAAAACATTTTTTATTGAGAATTTTCTTTAACAAATGGTTAAAAATAGTAATGTTTCTTTTTAAAAGAAAATATTTCATCTTTTTATTTACTCAAATTCTCATCTATTTTTTTTTATCTTTAACTTAAGCTAAAAACTTCAACATTAACATAAACATTTAATATAAAATATGAAAAATAGATCATATTTGAATAACAAGGTTTATTTTTTAGAGTTAAGAAAGTTGCAAATCAATTTAAAAAAAAAGATATATGCATATATGTATATGTATGTATGTATGTATGTATGTATGTATGTATGTATGTATGTATGTATGTATGTATGTATGTATGTATGTATGTATGTATGTATGTATGTATGTATACATACATACATACATACATGTATGTATGTATGTATGTATGTATGTATGTATGTATGTATGTATGTATGTATGTATGTATGTATGTATGTATGTATGTATGTATGTATGTATGTATGTATGTATGTATGTATGTATATATATAATATATATATATATATATATATATATACACACATACATACATATGAATAAAGAAAATGAAAAAGTAGTCAAATTTTATTTTCATTATTGCCAAGGTTCAACAAATGAATATTGATGTAGACACATAAAAATTTAATTAAAATATACCTTTAGTACTAAAATTAATTTATTTAAGTCATTTTTATGCCGAAAGTTATGATTTTTATCATTGTCGCATGATAAAAAAGTATTGTTGTAAAACATAAAATTTTAACCATGAATTTATTTGCATAATCGGAATTAATTTAGCGTGAAAATGGAGTTAACATGTTCAAGTTGTTGTTTGTCAAATTTTATACTTTATAAAATATATTTATTTCAAGCAAATAATGAAGAAATTTTTGCAATTTTTATGTAACATAAGTTAACAAAAACATGATAAATTTTTTTTTCTTTTCAAAATTTAGTTTAAAAACTGCTAAAAAACGTTTTTTGATAATATACATGAAGGAATATTAAATTTTACGTTTCTACATTTAAAGTTTTGAATAATGACGCTTAGTTAAAGCAAATTTTTACATTAAATTTGTGTAACGTAAGTTAAAACATGCATTTAATTCTGGCCCTTTTTCGTTAACAAAATGAATTACGTCATTAAGTAATTCTTATTTTGTTGCATTGGTTTGACAACTAACTGCAACTTATTATTTATCAGGATAATTTAGAGTAAAAATCTTTAATTTTTAATAATATAATAATGTTAATTAATATTATTCATATTCTAATTTTTTATTTGTTTTTATGTTTTATTGTTCTTATTTTGGTTGACATATAAATATACCTAAATAAATAAAAATAAGAATTATATAAACATTTTTATTTAGACATAAAAAAAAAAAAGGTTTAATTTGCTATTCTCCTAATATAAAAAAATCAGTTTTTTATTTTTGTTTCAGCAAAATAAATGGTTTGTAAATTTAGTTAATGGGGGTCATTCATAAAGCACGTCATCGTATATTTGTCAATTTTTAATCCCTTCTCCAGTAATGGATCCAGGGAGTCCAAAAATATCTTTGAAATTGAGGACTTTTATTTTTTTTTTAGGAGATGCAAATGTGGTTCAAGTTGCAAAAAAATTTCAACATCTCGTGTGTAACGTTAGTTAAAAATGAAATCACCCATATATATATATATATATATATATATATATATATATATATATATATATATATATATATATATATATATATATATATATATATATATATATATATATATATATATATATATATATATATATATATATATATATATATATAGACACACACACACACACACACACACACACACACACACACACACACACATACATACTTGGTTGAGTGAGACTAGAGATGGTGTCTCAATAAAAATACTTATCTTGGGCAAATGTTAAACACATCAGTCTACTGTCTTGTAAAATGCCTCCTAGGCAAAGACTTGAGAGGTAAATAGATTAAACCAGCCTTTTAACCCTTCTTCATCTATTAGGCTGGCGTAGATGTATTTATAATACATTGTTTCCAGTTAAGGACGTTGAATGGTAGATCTTCTTGACTCAATGCATGGGGTTTTGCTTGTGTCTCTGTTTTTATGACTAGGCAACTCTGTTATCTCCAAATGAGGATACAGCTCTAAAACTGTGGTAGCTATAAGAGAGGCTGAATCCATCAACAGCTAAAAAATACCAAAGTATTAACAGTACCATTTTGCGCATGGATTGGTGTCCCTGTTTGTACTTTTACTGTGCAATGCCAAGGCCACATTTGGAGCTCGTTGTTATATTTAGGGTTTATTAATAGTAATGAGGCAATTACTTGGCACTATTAAACAGTGTACTGAGTACTATCTACACTTTGAGTCAAGTTCTTTAACAAATTTAAAAATGACCAAAGTACCAAAAACTATAAAACACAAAAAAACCATCATCATCAATCTGTCATTCATTAATATTCGTGGTATTGGAAAAGTTCACCAGACCTACTTGCTTTTTGTAAGACTAATTTAAGTTCAACTGTCTCATCTTATGGTCTTCTCCATAAGATCTTCTCTTACCGTGTATTAAATCCTTCCTTACCAATCGTATAAAAGCTGTACTCGATGGACAGCACTCTTCTTCATATCCTGTAACTTCAGGGGTTCCTCAAGGTTCTATCAAGGTTCTATCTTTTTAATTTACATTAACAATCTTCCAGAAATTCTTACATCTAATTTGGTATTTTTTGATGATGATACCACCATTTATTGTTGACTAATAAGAAGCCAACACTCTCTGATTGCTTGAAAGGGATATTTGAGAATATAAAAGATCTCACTTCTGCCACAGCATGGGGCTCTCAGTGGCTAGTGAACTTTAACTCAGATAAAACTCAAGTTTTTTCAGCTAATCATTATCGCAATTATTTAGATCTTTCTATATTCATGAACAGTAATGTACTCAATGAGTCATTTACCCTTCATCTTCCAGGATTAACTCTTACTTCCGATATTTCTTGGAAACCATATATCAAATCTATTGCAAAAGTAGCATCTGCTAAGGTTGCATCTCTTCATCATGCTCACCACTCATCACTTTTTACTCAGGATTATATTCTTTATTTCTAAAAATCTTAAATCCGTCCTTGTATGGAATACTGTTACCATATCTGGGGCGAATCTTCTAATGATGCCCTTTCTCTTTTAGACAAGGTGCAAAAATGTATTGCAAGCATATTTGGACCTGCTCTTGCAGCTAAGCTCAAACCATTATCACATCGCCGTAATATTTATCTTTCTTTTCTATAAATACTATAATGGGCACTGCCATGTACTAAAATTTAATCTCATGTTACTCATCATTTAATTAAGTCTTATTATTTTACTGTGACTGTTCCTAAGTGCTCCAAAACATCTTATTCGAGCCTAATTTTTCCTCGAACATCAGTTCTTTGGAATTCGCTTCCTTTGCTTGTTTTCCCGATTCATATAATTTGCAATCTTTCCAGTCGTCTATTAATTGTTATCTTGCTCTATAAACTTTTTCCATTTTCCCTTCCAGTAACTTCCAACTCTAATAGTGGTTGCTTACAGCTTTGTGTATATATATATATATATGTATATATACATTTATATGTATATACATATATATGTATATATACATATAAATGTATATATACATATAAATGTATATATACATATATATGTATATACATTTATATGTATATACATATATATGTATATATACATTTATATGTATATACATATATATGTATATACATATATATGTATATACATATATATGTATATACATATATATCTATATACATATATATGAATATACATATATATATATATATATATAAAATATATATATATATATATATATATATATATATATATATATATATATATATATATATATATATATATATATATATATATATATATATATATATATATATATATATATATACACACACATGTGGCTAAATTGAGTGATCATGGGGAGGCACTTGTGTTAACACCGGCATTACAACTTCTTGGTCATGATTCAACATAATATAATGTTAATCCAGCTTCCATTTGAAGGAAACGAATAAAACACCAAAAGAAGATAGCAGAAGGTCTAAGGAAGGAATTCAAACCAGAAGTTCCTTTATGTATTCATTTGGATGGAAAATTACATTCTGGAAATTATTTTGGAAGCAGTAATTTTGCTGTGTCTCGACCCTTCAAGTGGACCTGGCATACCACTCTATAAAAGATTTCAGAAAAATTGGGTCTCAATTGATTCCATAAAGTACCACACAGCACAGTCTGATAAGAATGTTTCAAATGCTCTTACCGATATCACTGATGAAAGAATCGTCTTTTGCAAAGAACAATTACAAATCTTTCAACCTCGTGACAACTACCAATAACTTTTGGAGTTGTCTATTGTTTTTTTAAGAGGAGAACCTTTGAGGAGCATTTCATTTAGAGCTATGCCGGCCTATACCGTGCTCGCTGGATGGCGAAAGCTGTTTATGTGTTGAAGATTCGGATGTTTAGCAACCAATTCAAGTTGACAAAAAGAAAGGAGAAGGGAATAAAGGATATTTTCCTTTTCACGGTTCGACTGTACATTACAGCCTGGTACAGATCTCCTGAAGCAACCTCAGCTCCTAAACTTGATCTACAGCTCTTGAAAGACTTGGATGCCCACAAGTCCCAGTATTTGACGTCACGGTAGACTTTTAACAAATGAAACTCTGGAAATTTTTTTATTTATTTTTATTTAAAATTTTTTTGATTATTTGTTTAGTTTTTTTTTCTATTTTTAACATTTAAAAAGATATTAAAAACCTCAAATATTTTATGCTGGTTCGCTGCTATAAATTGTTATTGCGCCATATATTTAATGTTTATAAATTATGAATATTCATTATCTCAATCAAGACTTTGATAAAAAATTGTTTTACATTAATTACTTGTATAAAATTAGTAACAGCATTTTTATTTGGTTAGACGATATTTCATTTTAATTTGCTTTGCATGAAGTGCGGAAAGTCAAACGAAAAAAATTAGTTTGAATAATCACGTCGAAATATATTTAAAACAAATTATTTTAATGACAGGGATTCTAAACTTTTTATAACAAATTTAGATAAAAAATAAATAACTAAATAAAAAGTTCAACATTAAACATCATTTCTTTATTATATTGCAACTGTAAATATTGAAATATTAACTTGAACTAAATTTACTTATTAAATTTAATTTATTTGTTCATTGTTGATTTATTTCTAATTTAATTTTATCTCTAAGTATAATTTTATGTTAAGAAAGAAAAGTTCTTATTTGATCTCCCGCTCTTTTTATAAAAGAGTAGAACAAAAGAGAAAGAAAAGTTTTGCATAATTAAACTTTGAATGAATAAGAGTTGTATAGAATATTTTTTTTACTCTTTCTTTTTTTAGATGAGAGAAAGAAAAATTTAATAGTAACTTTTCTTTGAATAAATGAGAAATGGAAGAAAAAATTGCTTGAAAATTTGTATTTGCTAATTGTGTTTTTAAAAATTTTTAATTTTTCATGTTAAGAGACAAATGCCAAATACGACACAAATTGGGAAATACCAAATTTAATATGTTTTTATACGCGCGTTATGACATTTTGACAATTTAAATAACTATCTATCTTGAATTATTGCCAATAATTAATGTGTTAATTATTGCGCTATTTAATAATAATTTGTCCGTATTTTTGTTAAATATTAGTTGTATAAAACGGGCGAAAATATATGAACTTCATGTTTTTAATTTGATGGTTATAAAAAATTGAAAAGTAAACTTATAATCAAAATTTATAATGACAACTTGTGTTGCTATTAATTGTACTTTTAATGCAAAATCGGGATCTCACATATCCTTTCACGAATTTTCATATCTGATACTACTGTCAACTGTATTGTTTAGTGTATTCTTGTACTTTTTTTCATAACCTTAACAGGTTCTAATTGGTATGGAGTTACTGACATTTTAAAAATTTAATTAAAAAAAAATCATTATCAAAAATCAAATGTAAAATAAAATGATATTTCCTTTTTATCTGTTTCCAATTCAGCAAATTTAGCAATATAAATTAAATCAGGTTAATCAAAAAAATCTTATAATAAAAAAAGTTAACAATTCATCAAATATCTCTAATTAATACTGTCAGTTTATGAAAGTAATTGTTAATACTTTTTTTCGACGGGAAAACAAAAAATTGTCATAGCGTAAAAATAACCAGAGAAGTTAAAAAATAGTTCCTGTTGTTTAAATAAAAATAAGTAAGAGTCAGAATATATAATACTGTGCTCTCTTGCACAAAAACGAGAGAACGTATACAAAATGTTCTTATAATGTAAAATACTTGTATGAAAATCATAAGATCGATAAGTAAAATTTTAATATTTGTTTTCATTTAAAAACAATAGAAATATATATAACATATATAAATCTAAAAATTATTAAAATATCTGTAAAAAATAAGTTGCTCCTATAAAATAAAAATAATTTATTGTTTTTACTTTTTACAAAATTTTTTTTGTGATTTTTGGAAAAATAATACAAATAAATTTGTTTTGTTGTATGTTAAAAAAATACAACATAGTACTTTTTGAATTAAAGTAGAAAAACGCAACTTTGTGTAATTACACTTTTTGTTAAAAGTCTACCGTGACTAAAATTTTTATGAATTAAACGCGCTTCAAAGGAATCGCCAAAATCTGTAGATTGCGACGTACAATTTAAAGACTCGCCTTCTCCATTTTTTTCAATTTCAAGAGTAATTGAAAAAAAGGAGAAGGTGAGCTTCGGCTAAAATAACAACATTAGTTTTTCTCGGTATGCATTCATTATTTATTTTTAATCAAAAAAACTTGGTTCAAACCTTTTTTTTTAACATTATCTTTAATATGAACACAACATGTGTTGGGAGCTTGGGATCCCTTTAATACACAAAGATTTTTCAGCATCACTGGACTTCCATCACACTTTTTTCAAAACAGTGTGAGCAAATGGGAACATGATGATGAATTTAAGACTGTAAAGTCCACTGTTTGAAGCATGAAGGTTGTAAATGACATTCCAGAATGTGGCAAAGCACTAATGGACAAATATAATAGACTGCATACAAATAATGAAGAGCAAAAGCAGTTCCTGTTGTTGGTAGTTCAAAAATATAGACAGAAATATCCTGACAAAAAAAAAGACAACTTTCATGAGCGATTAATCTTATTTCTGTAACTATTGTCTTAAATAAACCTACAATCAAAGTAAAAAAGCATGTTTATTGCTGTCTTTTAATAAATAAGTAGAAATGAAATGACAGAAAATGGATGTTTTTAATGCATGCAATAAGTAAATAAATTTGTACCAAGTAAATGAGTCATTATCACCAGTCTCCATCAGTTTTATGATTTTTTCCTATGTTAATGACTAAGAGCGCATAGTAAAATATGACTTAAATTTCAATGACTGGTAGCGCCCAGTGAACCATTTCAGTGAGTGGCCCACTGAAAAACGAAAAAAAAAATTTTAAATATAAGAAACATCCTAGTGTATGCATATACTGGTAATATGTTATTTTTTCAAATTTGTTCGTTCTACAATTAATTCATGGTCATTCCTGGCAACATCTTCTACCAGATTTATTACTTGGGTAAATATGATAAACTATTTAACTTTTTATAAAGCAACATCATGTCATCCATAAAAAACTACATAACAACATTCTGTCACACATATAAAACTAATTCTATCATCCATATAAAACTAATTCTGTCATTTATATAAAACTATAATGAGGAATTACAATCTGAACACTTAATACAAGAAATTTTAAATACAATTTCCTTTAAAGTACATATGAACACAAACAATATATACAACAAAAAAAAGTTCTATTTTTAAGAAACATATTACTTAAACAAATAACTATTAGTTATAATTAACATATATCAAATACCTAATCATCTACTAATTGTTGTTAACTGATTATCTACAAAAATTTGTATAAAATTTGTAGTTTATATTTGTAGAATTACCAGTTATACTATACAATCACATGTTAGAGTAAATTAAAATAATCATTTCATTTAATTTTTACTGAGTTTTTTTATGTAAAATACTTTTTACAATTCATATTTGAATCACTTCAGATCTAAACATACCATAAAATGGGGTAAATAGGAACAGTAAAGTGAATAGGGACAGAAACCAGTTTTTTGGATGTCTACAAAGTGACAAGAACAGCTAACAGACCAGCTAACAGACTTTTTTCTTTATTTAATTGGTAACATTTTGATTTTGACCTCTGGCAGTAAATCATTTAAAAAAAAAAAAAAATTAAAAATTTGAAAAAATGTATGAAAAAACTTTTTCGACACAGACAAAAGCACTGAAGGCATAATTGTAAAACTACCAAATTGTTACATAAGCAATTTAATGAAATTGTTACATAAGCAATTTAATGAAATTGTTACATAAACAATTTAATGAAATTGTTACATAAGCAATTTAATGAAATTGTTACATAAGCAATTTAGTGAAATTGTGAAAAATTAAAGAACATCTAGCATTAACTATTTTGATTTATTTTAAGTTTTTATTAAAAATATATCCAATATTGGGGTGAACTAGGACAGTTGCAATTAGCAAAAATAAATTAAATTAAACCTTGTTTCCTTTAATGTTTCCCCAATTCTTTTAAGTCTTTGGTGATCTTTTACAGATCCTACAACTTCTTTATGTCTATAATAAAATTATAATATAAATAATAATAGTAACACATTTTAATTAATAATCATAACCTTATCATTTTTTTTTTCATAAAAAAAACAAACAATAATAAAAATAATATTGCAGAGATAATCACAATAATTACTCAGTTTCTTGAAGATCTAACTTATTTGGAGAATTTTCTTTTGTTAAATCTAATCCAACAAAACTTGAGGTGCTAGAATTATAGCTACCTGAATCGTCAAGATTTGTTGATGGTTGGCGTGGACCTGGGTCTAAAAAATAACACACAAAAAATTCTATTCAAAATTTTTACTAATTGCACATTCATAAATAGGTATAAAACAATTGCAATAAAAGCATCATACTTGTTATGTGCAGTTTATCACAAGATTATCTCCTAGATTTCTTAAAAGTTAAAGATTTTATTCAAAAAATCATTTTTTATAGCATAGGATTATCTCCTAAATTCCTTGAAAGTTTAAGAATTTTTTTAAAAACTACATTAAATTTAAGTGAATTTGTTGGGAGTTTGGAAGTGAATTTGTTTGGAGTTTCGAAGTGAAGTTGTAGAGAGTTTCGAAGTGAAGTTGTTGAGAGTTTCGAAGTGAAGTCGTTGAGAGTTTCGAAGTGAAGTTGTTGAGAGTTTTGAAGTTGTTGGGAAACAAAACAAAGAAAAGAGTTAAAGAGCAAGAAAGTTTGAAGAAGAATGAAGAAGAATGTATTAAAAAACTGTTAATTGTAGTTTGAAGAAGAATGAAGAAGAATGTTCTAAAAAACTGTTAATTGTATCTAAAAAGAAAGTTGTTTTTATAAACTATCAATAAAAATTTTTAATTCAATGATGTCACTTGATTAGAAATGTTCTTTTTCTAAATTTTATTTTATTTTAAGCTCCCAGGTTACAAAAATCCCAAATATGGTTCAGAAAAAACTAGTATCTCCTCTGTTTCGGGTGCCAAAGATGCACGCAGTTGATTGATTACATGCCCAGCAGTCGAGAAAGCATATTCTGATGATCACATGTTTTTGTGTGCTAAAATAGCATAATTATACTTTCCATCTTTCAAATTTTGAAATACTTTTGTCCAAGAGACAAATTAATAAATAAGTTGGATAAATTTCTGTTTTACCATAAGGAAAACATTGCACTCAGAAATAATCATAATAATCATTGAGTAACAATAATTATCTGATTTAGAAACTCAAATAACTTTCCAAATGTTATATTGAATGTTTTTAGAAGATGATAGATAGCCATAACTATTAAAACTTTTAATAACAAGATCTTTCAAGATCTTCTTTCATATACCAAATTTATAATATTAAACTGTTATTTTGCAACTAAAGGTTTTAAAGTTAAAAACGAATGAAATAAATTTTAAACTTATACAATAATGGTTACCCATCATTTGAAAATGCTACTACAGCAGTAACCAATAGATCAGATACTAAATTGTAAATATGGTTTTTTTGAGAGGTGAACTCAGTAAAATCGCTGCCATTCATCAATATAGGAATATAAAAAAAAAATTGTTGAAGCAGAAGTGATTTAGATGTCTAAAAGTGAATTAAACTGTTTGTTTGGGATGATAGGATGAGTGTTATTAGATTTAACTTCTTCTAACCTTTGCCTAGAAAAAGGAATCTTACAAGGGAATAGGATATGAGGTAGATTGAACTGGATTACATGTTACCAGTATCAGGGTGATTGTGAGGATCCTAATCTTTGACCTGCAGGTCAAATTAGGATTAGAATAATCACAATCATAATTTTTTCTAATTTTGCAATATATATATATATACATATATATATATATATATATATATATATAATATATATATATATATATATATATATATATATATATATATATATATATATATATATATATATATATATATATATATATATATATATATATATATATATATATATATATATATATATATATATATATATATATATATATATATATATATATGTATATATATATATATATATATATATACATATATACACTGTATTACATTTTGCTGTTTATTTCTTAATTTTGACTATTTACTAAAAAAAAATTGAAAAAATTTACCAGAAATGCCTCGAGTTGGTGTCATAACAGTTAGCTGGTTTGAAGTTCTTGGTTTTTTTTTCTTATTGCGCCTACAAAATAATTTAATTTATTATAAAAATAATTCAAGTTATAATAAAAAGAAGTCATACAACATGTTTCTGTGTGAAACTGAAGAAGAAGTTGATGTTTCAATTAAGTAAATAGAGAATATTGCTATTGAAAATAAGCAATAAAATTTGGCATGGAATATACCAAAAATATGGCAAAGTATTTGGCATAAAATACACCACAAATATGGCTAAAAATTTGGCATAAAATATACTTCTGTTTATTTTATGTTGATATAAGAGAAACTGTAAACTTCATTTCATTACTCATTGATTCATTCTTCGATTTATTGCTTTGTATTAAATTAAAATAATATATAGCAGTTGTGGTAACTATGGTAACCATGAAAAAAAAATTAATATTCAAAAATGAGCAACCTTTAGGATGGTAAATACAGTAAAAAAAATATAACTATTCCTATTTTAGATAATTTTTGTTTTACTTTTATTGTACATCATTGAGAACATAAAAATCTTACACTAAAATAAAAGAATCTGTTAATAATTCTTCCGCTGTTGCACGCTCCTGTGGGGAAGGTTTAAAACATCTAAAATTAATCATGTTGAAAATTTTAATTCTAAAAGAAAAATTTAATTCAAAATATTGTAGCTTGAAAAATAACACTAACAGATGTAACTAAAATGTGCAAACCTTTTTAGAAACTTAACAAGTGATTCTGAAGCTTGTTCAGGGATATCTGGATGAGTTTTAAACATGCCCACTTTAAATATGGCAGCCACTGGTTCAAGCTTAGTTTGAAAAAAAATTAAAAATTAATTTTTTTTAAACTTGTTAAAACTTAAAATAAGTTATAAGTAGTTAGTAAAACAAAGAAATAACAAATAACTAACTGATATGTAATGTAATGTAACTGGAATTACTATAATTTGGGTATTTTTGTTGTAGACTTTTTTTCTTATTTTACAACTTTTTAAATAATATTAGTTAACAATTTTTTCAATATTTAAAGCACTTTTTACTCTTTTTTTCAATCATTATCATCTTTTCAATAACTTTTATTAACAATTTTTTTTTAAAAAGAATAAACTGATTTTACATTATTATTATTTAATTTTAATTTGAAGGATTATATATTTTATTTTAGTTTTATTTTATTTTGTTTACTAACATAAACATATTTTTCAACATACGTGTCTATTTTAATTTCCTTAGTTTTACCTGCATGGAATGATTGTATCAGATATCGCTCCCAACACGCAGGAACACTATCACAAGGTCCTTTAACAAACAGTGATAATATTGTTTGTTTTTTTAATTTTATAATTCTTAAATTTTTATTTGTAATTTTTTAAAGTTTACACTTTGATTAAAATTTTTATTTGTTTTTGATCTTTAAATTCAGTCGACTCCAAAATAATTTAGAGTCAAAATTTACACATTGTATTTCAAGTTAAAAATACAAAAATTATATTTTATACTAAGATAACAATTGTTAAATTTATTTTAGTAGAAACCAAATTTGAAGCTTAAAAACTCACCTCAAAAAAGGGGGGCTTGCCAGTTGCCATTTCTATTACTGTGCAACCAACACTCCATATATCTGCCTGGAAAATTAATAATTCAAAAAAATTAAAATTAAATCTAACAAAAAATATAAATAAAATATTTATATTTTAAATAATTTATCTAACAATAAAAGTTTTTTTATGTAACTGGACACTAAAAAATATTGTGAATATTATGCTATTTAAAACATTACAATAAAAATTTTAATGAGTATAAAACAGGAAGAATTAAAGAAATACAAAGAATTTACCTCAGGTCCATATCCCCTTTGACCTTGATCAATAACTTCTGGTGCCATAAACTGCATAGTACCTGCAAATTAATTTGAAACAAATAAAACATTCTGAATATTCTTAACCATTTACTAACTTAATTTTATGTGTATATATATATATATATATATATATATATATATATATATATATATATATATATATATATATATGTGTATATATATATATATATATATATATATATATACATACATATATATATATATATATATATATATATATACATATATATATATATATATATATATATATATATATATATATATATATATACACACATACATATGTATATATACACACATATGTATATATACACACATATATATATCACATATATATACACACATATATGTACACACATATATATATTTTACAAGATCTCCTCATTTGGCATAGGTATATATACCATTTGGCATAGGTATATATAATATACTTAAGTTTAAAGTTTGCACAATGTGTGAAAGTGTCCTATCTGAAACATCAAAAAATCCTGCGGGCGCCCATGCCACCCCTTATATACTAGCCCTGAGTATACTAAGGGCCAGTATATAAGGAGTGGCATGTGTGCATGCATGTGCAAAAAATAGGCTGCCTATTTTTTGAGTCAACAAAAAACAGGTTTTAGCAATGCAATGGTTTATAGGTTGGAGACCCCCCTCCATCTCCCCTCAAAATAAAAAAACATGTCATTAAAGTCTCAAAATCTTCCAAATTTTACCACTAGGTTTTACTAAAATAAAATAGCAAAAGGGCATAAAATTTGCTGCTCCCACACAACACCTCACCCCCTCTAATTACGGGGTATGGGTAGCCTACCCTTGCACTGAGTTTTAAGCTTTGTTTTCAATATCACTCTTCTCGCGTGACTCGCTTTTTACGGACTTAATAAAGAGGGGTGCCTGAAAAAAAACGTCTGCCTTATAGTTTATTTTTATTTGATGCGTCTCATTAAACAGTAAAATAGAACTTTACTGGGAATTGAACTCCAATCTCTGCTGTCACTGCCCATAACATCATCCACTCAGCCAAGCGATCTATTGCAAGATTTAATTATATTTAAATTTATATTTGTATATATTTAATGATGTTTTTTAAATTGGAATCCTTTGCCGCTAACAAAGGGCTTTGGAATCGTATAAATACACCTTTTTTTGTTTCAATTTGGGGGGGGGGGGGGGGGAAGAAGGTTACATGAAAATGTACGTACTTTTTAAGGGGGGTGGGGACTTAAAAGTACGCATGGCAACAGGGGGAGGGGAGGATGTCAAATTTCAGAATTTTTGGCGTACGTACTTTATGGACGTCCCATAATTAAATTGCTTTTTTTTAATATATATCTCAAAATCTAAAATAGTTATTATGGCCAAAATTAACAATTCACTCAATTTCATTAGTCTTTGATTAAAACTTTGCACTTATTTGCAAACTATTTATAATTATTTGAGAATTTTTATTTAAATTGTTTTAAACATTTGAAAAATTTGCGTAAATTGAAATAGAAAAAAGAATATCTAATTAACTATAATATTTCAGCACTAAAACAATCAAATTGACTGGAAAAATTATTGATAATAAAAATAAAAATTTTAAAGATAACAAAATGTAAAATCATAAAAATGAATGTACAAAACATCTTAATGAGAGAAACAACAAAACATTTTACCTTAACACATGCCACTTTTAGCAGAATAATCAGTGGACATTAAAGATACAATACAATTCAAAATTTTCCATGTCCTAGAAGACTCAGCATTTCAGAAAGAAAAAAAAAATGAATGTTCACTTATTCACATAGTAAAAAAAACAACAGAAGTTTATCATCTACGGATCTCAGTTGAAAAAGACAAAAAGCTTCTAGGGTTGTTGCTAGTGACAAACAATTAAGAGTACTACAAAAACACAATTACATGTGGCAGCATGTACAATTACATGCTGCCAATTACAATTCAATTACATGCTGCATGTGAAAAACCATATCTATTGATAAAACATCAGAAAACAAGTAAAAACTGGTGTTTGATAAAATTTGGTTGTTGTGCCGCATGCTCATAAAATGAGCATGTGACACAACGTTCTTTTTAGAGATAAAATAAACGTTGAGGTTGATTTAAGAAAAAACCAAGTAATGTTGAGAAGAAAGCAGCATGAAAAAATGGATCCAAACTGTTCTATGCATAGAAGAAAATATGGCAGGGGTAGTATAGGCATCTGGACCTGTATGAACTATGAAGGTGTTGGTTGTTTTAAAATATATGATGGAAGGCTTGATTCTCAAAGATATTTAGACATTAGATAATTATTTAATGCCTTCTATTAACATTTTTTAAATGATATGGGAATCTTTCAACAAGATAATGCTCCATATTTCTATGATTTGCAAGAAATTGTATGAAGAAAACAACATTTAAACCATGTCTTGGCCTGCCAATAGCTGGACTATTGGCAGGCCAAGACATGGTTTGAACTGAACATGTTTGAACTGGAAGCCCTAGTTTAAATAGTTTAAACAATTTTAAATCAATACTTACATTACATAATATCTTTGCATATATTTATATTTATATTACATAATATAATTATCTCAATTACATAGAGAATTTGTGGTCTGGGTAAAACCACAATCTTGGTAAAATTGAAATAAAAGATCTGGACCAGCTACAAAAATTAGTAATAAAATTGCTGAATAGTGTTCTAAAGAAATTACTCAGAATTTAGTGAGCTCTATGCCAAAACATATCAATAAATGCTTAAAAGAAAAAGGATTGTCAACAAAATATCAATTCTTTTTTTTTTTATGTTTTGTAAATATTTTTTTATTGAGGTTTGTTAAATTTGTTTTTGTGGTTTGTTTATTTTGACCACATTTTTTTTGATACAAATGAACACTTGTTTTAATTTCAATATTTTAAGTTTTTAACTTCTTTAATTTTTATTATTTTATAATAAATTTATATTGTGATTATTTAATTTATTTCAATAAAAAAAAACTTAGGAAAAAATCACTTTTAGTTTATAAAATATTCGATTTCAAACTTATATTCATACTAAAATAACATGATGGATTGTTATTAATGGCCAATACTATATATATATATATATATATATATATATATATATATATATATATATATATATATATATATATATATATATATATATATATATATATATATATATATATATATATATGTATATATATATATATATATATATATATATATATATATATATATATATATATATATATATATATATATATATATGTATATATATATATATATATATATATATATATATATATATATATATATATATATATATATATATATATATATATGTATATATATATATATATATATATATATATATGTATATATATATATATATATATATATATATATATATATATATATATATATATATATATATATATATATATATATATATATATAAGTATATATATATATATATATATATATATATATATATATATATATATATATATATATATATATATATAAACAGTGACAAACCCAGAGGGATACTGCTTTTTTTCCCGAAACATTGAGGGAGGGGGTGATGTTCCTAAGACTCTTCCATTTTAATAATTTGTGTTTATCTTGTTTAGTTTTATCCAAAGATAAGGAGTTGATTTAAAGGCTTTTTTTGAATACATGTATTTACTGGTAGGCGTAACCATGCTGTTTTAGTCACAATAAGAAAACTATTTTACTTAAGCTTTTAATAAACGCTTTTGTTGCAATTACTACTTGTAAATAATTATTGAAAATTGTTTAAAGTATTTTAAACATTTATTAAATATATTTTAGTAAATTTAATTTTAGTAGCTGATAATGTTTTAAATAATTAGTAATTAAATATTTAAATTAGGGCTTCCAGTAAACTTTAAAAAAAAAGTTTGAACTGAGTTCTAACTTTTTTTTTAAAGTTTGAACATGAACATGCTCGAACTATTACGGAAAAAAGTTCCAACAATTTTGAACTTTATTTTATTTATGTTAAAACAGACAAAAGTAATATGAAGTATGCCTGTATTAATTAATAAAAGTATTTAATTTAATTAATTAATCATCATTAATTAGGAAAAAAGTAAATAACATCAATGAGTACTCTTCATAGTTTGCTTTAAAAAAGTTAGTGCATCTAAATTTAAAGAACTTCTTATTTTAGTAGCAAAAAGTCCAAGACGACAAAAAGCTCTTTTTGATTCTACGGATGTAGAAGGAATGGTTTGAAGAGCTTTGAAAAGTAAATCTAAATACTTAGGCCAAGCTTTGCTAGCTTCAAAAGCAGCTATTTCCTTTTGAATAAGGTTTGTTCCAATTTCATGATGGTCAAGTATTATTTCAGTGTTTGATTGTTCAATAAATAGTTTGAGTTGTTGAGCTAAATTCAATTCATTTTTGATACTTTTTACATTAGCCGTTATACTATCAGTATTTACTTCCTTGTCATTATCAGAGCTATTGTCAGATGGCTAAATTAATTGCTGAATGAGATTAGTAGCAAGATTAGTAATTGCCTTTTTTTAAATCTTGGTGCCAAATTAGTCTTCTTTATTTAAAAATGTTCCAGCATATCAATAGTGCTCTTCCATCTTGTCCTTGAATCACAAATTAAAGCTTTTTCTTTTCCAAACTTTTTGATTATATTTGATTGAAGCTCATCATCATTGCTCACTGGTGATCTATGAAGTTTTTAACCAATTTTCTTGTTTTTTGCCACAGTTTTTTGATATTCAAGTTTCAATAATGAAATAGAATTCACTATAACTTTAATCATAATCTAGAGCCTTCCATATCATCATCAACAGGGTTATTATCAGAACCATGTTCATCAACTATGTTTTTTGCAAAGAATACTTTAATCACACATAGATGAATAGTGTGGTTGTAACACATTTAATGTTCAGGTTTAATGTCATGACCAATTTTTTTTCATTAAGCTAGCTTCATCAGTAACAGAAGCTACAATGTCTTTATCGAAATTAAAATCAAATAAGTTAATCTTATCACTGATCAATTTAATAGCTTTTGTTGCTGGCATTGTACCTTGGGTTCTTAACATTCCAATCAATTGAAATCCTTCTTTATGAGGTAGATTAAAGTTCATATATTTTCTGTTTTTTACTGAAGTATACTCATCAAATGTAGGACAAAATTTAGGTTTATATTCAAGTTTTATTTATAACTTGAAGATAAACGTAACTAAAAAACTTTCAAAGAACTTATAACTTGTTTCTTGACTAACATGAAGTATTTAATGACTAAGATAGCAAACAGTTTGAGGACTTTGAGGGATTTGGTATCTCTGGACACGAAATGCTGATCATAAAGTTTTACTTATAGCAATTGTGTGAAAGCTGAATCCCTCAATAGCTGATAGGTGACTTAAAATTTCAGGTAGAGTTTTATGGTCATCTTTGAAAAAACATTCAATTCACGGTATTTTGGCAGGAAGAATGTTTGCTGCAGCCTCAGATACAGAGTTATTGCATTTAAGAATTTTAATTTTGTGTTTTGTTTTTGAATGTCTTGTTGAGCTAGGTGTTTTGAGAATAATTTTACAGAGTTTACACTTTGAACTCTGTAATTCTTTGGAAAATTCGAAATAGCCTCATGCCTCAGATCTTCTCGTTGTGCTTACATTTTTAAACTTATCCATATTTTTTATTTCGCACAACTAAAACTTTTATTAGCTCATTAAAGCTATATTAATTTTTTTTTTTTCGATTTGAAATTTTAACATATATCACCATGGGATTTCTTTAACAATTAAAAATATGTAATGCATGTAACTATTTTAAAACTTGAAAGTAATGTTCTAAACCATTAGTTACATATTTCTGTGTCTTGTGTTGCTTCTTGTTTTTATTTGTGTCTTGTGTTGCTTCTTGTTTTTATTTGTGTCTTGTTGCTTTTGAAAAAAAGTATTGCACAACAAAATTAATAGTAACAAAAACTGTCTAAAAAAGTCAGTTAATAAAGGTTTTGCTTTAACTGTTACAAAATGATAATAAAGAATCTAGTTTTGATATATATACATGTTCGAACTTTTAGAGGAAAAAAGTTCAAACTTGAACCTCTTAAAAAATGATAAAAGCTTAAATGTTCGAACTTGAACATGTTTGAACTGGAAGCCCTAGTTTAAATAGATTAAACAATTTTAAATCAATATTTACATTACATAATATCTTTGCATATATTTATATTTATATTACATAATATCTTTACATATATTTATATTTACATTACATAATATCTTTACATATTTTAAATTGCCTAATATTTGTAAAATTAACAATATAGTTTTACATCTTGTATTCAAATAACTATTTGAATAAAAAACATTAGCTTAATAAACATAATAATAACTGAATAAGTTAATAAACCTATTTACTATTATTTTAACTTTAAAATTTTGATTTAAGTATTAGTAAATCTGTTCATTTAACTTTTACTTAAGGTTAATAATTTTTAAAGTGATTTCAAGGCGCCTTTTAAATTAAAGATAATAAAATATGAGATATTTGTGATAAACATAATTTTAAAATTATGTTTTTATATATTTTTTTTTAAATCAAAAATCACATATTTCAAAAAATATATTATATTTTTTTATTTATTAAGTATAATTTTAAGAAATTACGGTTAATAAATAAGTTACATTTACTATGGATTTTTTAAAACATTAAAGACATTAAATTTTAAAAATAACTAGATCTTAGTAAAACTTTAATTAAGTTATTATATTATCATATTCATTTTTATTATATTAATTTTATCTTTATTTTTATTATTTTTAAAGTTAAAAAGAATATGGCAAAGAAACAAAACTTTCTGAAAATTTTTTAGTTTTTTATTTAGTTTTCTTTATGTAAACTAAATAAATGTAAAAGATATAAAATGTAAAATAAATGTAAATGCTAAAGATCAAAAGTTCATACATTCACAAATTTGCTTGATAGTTATTAAGAATGAAATTTTTTATTTTTGTTCATTATTAATAAAAGCAGTTCACTCTTAATTGGCAAAAAATAAAAGTTAACTTAACCCTGAATGGATATTTTGAGATCTTTCAAAATTTTTTTACACATTCCATTGTTATAAAACTTTGTAACAAATTTATAAAATTAAGTTTCGTAACAACATAATTTTTTTAAAACTAACATTCAGTTAGTAACAAAAGGACAGTTATAATTACATGAAAAAAGTAATTGCTTTTTAATTCATTTTATTGTCCTGAAGAAAAAATGAGGTACCTAAAATTAACTGAAAATTATTTATATACTACTGCATTAACATGGAAAAAATGTTTTTTTACTTTAAATAAAAAAGTAAAAGAAAACTTTCATGGAGCTTTTTTTTGATGCCCATATCGCTCCATCAGTATTAAAACAGGTCTAAGTTTGTCTCTGATGTATATGTGTATATATATATATATATATATATATATATATATATATATATATATATATATATATATATATATATATATATATATATATATATATATCAGTGCCAACCCGCGGGTTGCATGGCGGTTATATATATATATATATATATATATATATATATATATATATATATATATGTATATATATGTATATATATGTATATATATGTATATATATGATATATATATATATATATATATATATATATATATATATATATATATATATATATAACATGGCGGGTATATATATATATATATATATATATATATATATATATATATATATATATATATATATATATATATATATATATATAAAAATTGGTTCAAAATAAATACCAGCAAATGTTTTTGTGTTTGGATTAATACCAGCAAGGCGTTTAGATGTTCCAAAATCTGATAGCTTACAACAACCACTATAAGTGTTTACTAAGACATTATCACCTAAAGAAAACAATATATATATATATATATATATATATATATATATATATATATATATATATATATATATATATATATATATATATATACTGTAACATTAAATAAGACAGTAATAATGAAATAAAAATTTGTTTTATTGTTTATATATTCTTATTTTATTTTAATGCATTTTAAACTAAAAATTTTTTACTTCATTATGGAAAATTTATAGTTTGCATAATAAAAATAAAGATTCAATTGGTAAAAAAAAAATGAATTGCTGAAAGATCTAGAGTTGTTAACAACTTTAACTAAATCGACAAGTTGACAAAAGTCAAAATTAATTGACTTTAAAAAATCTAATAGTTGATTTAATCAACTATGGACTTTCTACTAATCGACTAAAAATCTAATAGTTGATTTAATCAACTATGGACTTTCTACTAATCGACTAAAAATCTAATAGTTGATTTAATCAACTATGGACTTTCTACTAATCGACTAAAAATCTAATAGTTGATTTAATCAACTATGGACTTTCTACTAATCGACTAAAAATCTAATAGTTGATTTAATCAACTATGGACTTTCTACTAATCGACTAAAAATCTAATAGTTGATTTAATCAACTATGGACTTTCTACTAATCGACTAAAAATTTTCTAGAGTAATAATCTTTAAATGTTTTATTATATTTTTGATATATTTTTGATTTCATTTTATTTGATTGTCATTTTATTCGATTTCATTTTTCGAATTTTGAATTTTTGTTTGTTCTTAAAGTTTTATCTAATTCATAGCATGATGGCAATATTTATACATAAATAAACTTTCGGCTACACATTTTATTAATTTTTCTTTTTTCTTTTTACTTTATGCTTGTGATTGTCATAAATACTTTCATATAGGGCCGTTCCAAGCTAGCTCGGGGCCCTATGGCAAGCTCCAAAATCCAAAATGTTATGTATAGATGACATTTAAACATGATTTTATAGATTTACTGATTTTTAGAAAGTATTTAAGGCTGTCCCTATATTATTGGGGTCTGGGAATAATTTGTCCCCTTGTCAGAGTAGCTCTGCTCTTATTTTATTTTGCTCCATTATTATTTAAATGATATGACGTTAGAAAATATAATTTTTATTTATATTACAATTTATTTTGAAAAAAAATTTATGATTATATTTTAACTAAATCAACTTTTAGTAAATTTAGTCAATTTAAAAAATTAGTCAATTTTAGGAACAAATTTAGTCAATTTAGTTGTCAGTCGAAATATTTAAAAGTTGTAGCAACACTAAAAAGGTCATCTACAAACAAATCAGAATTCATCAAATAATCATCTACAAACAAATCACAACCTATCAAAAGAATATCTACAAAAAAATTATAACCCATCAAAAGATTATCTACAAAATATCATAATCCATCAAAAGATTATCTATAAAATATCATAACCAATCAAAAGATCAGCTGTCAATAAGTCACAACTAATTAAGAGATCTACCATTAGGTCAAAAAAATATCTACAAAGTTAAAGTTTGTCATTATGACAGCCATATGTCAACATATAATTATATAAGATATATAGTTAACAAGTTAAAAGTTTTTAAAAGTTTTCCACCTTTTCCTGTCTTGTTTTGAGCACTGTATATATACTCCCTGCATTTTCTACCTATTTAAGTCAGTCAATGTATGTACACTCCAATATATGTGCACTATATATATTTATTTTATTATTTAAAAAAACAAACTTAATAGACTAAAGTATATTTGCTTTTTTAATTCAGAATATTTTTATTTTTTTACTGTTTTTATTATTCATCTTTATTTGGTTTATTTAGTTGTTTATTACTTTACGATTTATCAGCAATTTTATTTAGAGATTAACACAGCGGAGTGTACATACATCGACTAACATAGATAGAACATCCAGAGAGTGTACATACATCAACTGACTTAAATAGAGAGAATATGCAAGGAATACCACTAAATCGACTAAAGGTTTTGGTTTGGGCTAAGCTTAAGAACTTGAAAAAGTTTAAAAACTTGAAAATTTTTTTCAAGTTCTTAAGCTTTTTCGGGTCTTAATTTAAAAAAAACATGTTTGTTAAAAATAATCACTTGAATTAATAGTAGTGTACAAATACATTTGTATATCAGTGTTCGTTTAATAAATAATATTCGTTTAATGAATATATATTCATTAAACAAATAAATGGGATTAACTATAGAGTAAAACAGAGGATAGAATGAAATAGTTATGTTAATAAAATGTATAATTTAATACTAAAGATATAGATTTTTTTTGTAAGGTTTTTTCAAATGAGAATAAAACTTTAAAGTTTTTTGAAATTAAACTTAAGTCATATTCTTGTATAATATTTTACTCCAGTGAAGAATTCTTTTTAAAAATTAATTTTACTATTTCCTGTAAAAAGCTATGAGAAAATAGCAAAAACAGTAGGTTATAGAAATATGTATATATGCTATAGGAACTGGGATTATATGAAATACTCTAATTGTCAACTTTGTAAATGATGTTTTTATAAATTATTTAAACTGACCAATAAATCTCTATAAATTCTTTGTAAAGACTTTAAATTAATCATGATAAAATCTATTCAAATACAAAATACACCATAAAAAACTTGCACACAAAGAAAAAAGAAAAACCATTCACCTAAGAGCAAGTCGCATGTATATATATACATATATATATATATATATATATATATATACATATGTATATATATATATATATATATATATACATATATATATATATATATATACATATATATATATATATATATATATATATATATATATATATATATATATATATATATATATATATATATATATATATATATATATAAACAGTATATATATATAAACAGTATATATATATAAACAGTATATATATATACATATATATATATATATATATAATATATATATATATATATATATATATACATATATATATACTGTTTATATATATATGTATATATATATATATATATATATATATATATATATATATATATATATATATATATATATATATATATAAACAGTTATGTAAAAAATTAAAAACTTTTTAAAAGAATTACAAACCTTTTATATCACGATGAACAATTCTTTCACCATGCTGAAAATTAAGTAACTGGTTATTAAAATAAATCATTTTTTCAAATTTTATATAAATTTGTAAACATGTATAACAAAACACTTATAGTGTACATGTGTACTAAAAAAATTTTAGCAAAGGGTTATCATTATTATAGAATTTATGTCAGCAAAAACACAGCATAATTCTATTTTGATGGCAATGCAATATTCAATTATATCTTAAATAGATAATCATTCAATCATATGTAATTTAATGCAATATTCAAATTTTACCTACCTTAATAACATTTAACTATCTTAATAACGAAAACTTAATGCTAGACTTTTTAAGCAAAATTTTTATGAAACAAAACAGAACTCTTATTTGTAAAATGATACACATAATTAACAATATATAACTATTATTTACCAAATACTTGACTCCTTCTAAAATTTGTTGAGTGTAATATGACATGACACTTTCATTATCGATAAGAGGTCCCCATTTATCAATTACCAAAGATGATAAACTTCCTAAAAAAAAATCATTAAACAATGAATGACCTTGTTACCTCAAGTTTTGAACAAATTTTCACACAAGATAATCATAATTAAAAGTAACAAATTTAAACCTCCAGGAACTTGTTCCATAAATATTTTGCAGATCCCATCTTCGCTTCGTGAAGTAATATATTGTACAATGTTTCGATGACGAATTTCTTTGTGCAATGAAATTTCTTCATGTAATGGCTGTACTTGGCTAAATAAAAATCAAACTGTAAAAACATTTCACAAAAACACATAATTAGAAAAAACCAAAATGTTTTGTATACACTATCCTTGTTTTTTACCTCATAACTTATGAAATAGAAATGTTTCTACTTACCTTATATCTCTCTCTGGGATTTCTTTTACTGCAAGTTTTACATTTGTTGATATATCCCTAGCTGCGTACACAGCACCAAATGAACCTCTACCAAGGCAAATTTTTTCACCACTAGCATCATATTCATACTCATACTAATAAGAATCATTTAAAAAATAATTATAAATAAAAATTGAAAACTAAATAAATTAATTTAATAAAAAAAACACAATTAGATCTTTCCACTGATAACATTACTGAATAAACACAAAAATATATGGATAATATAGTTTTAGTGTTTAGCTGCTTCTGAGAATATATTCCATATAACATATTGAGACAAGAGGTGCACCGATGCTTACTTTTGGCCGATGCCGATGGGTACAGGCCAATGTCGATACATCGACATCAGCCCTGATATTGGATATATGAAGGAAATATACACTTGAATGGAAACGCCACATTCCATTCATGTGACAATGAAAGCAATATTTTAAAATTGTTACTGTTAAAGTTTATTTTCCATTTTTTATTGTTCTATAGATAATTAGAGCAATTACTTTAATTGAAAAGCTCATTTTATAAATATTTATTTCTGTCATTCTGTTAAATTAAACGATTTTGTTTTTTATAAAGAATGAATGGATGTCGTTACTTCTAATAATTGGCAAGTTTTTAACAAATGTTTTTACGAAATTATAAAACAATACTTATATTAAATATTTATTTATTAAATGCTTTCAATTTAATAATAAACATTTTTATTATTTAATTTTAATATAAATGTAATGAAACATTTTTATTATTTAATTTTAATATAAATGTAATAAAACATTTTGATTGTAAAGAATAACAGAAAGAGTTTCAAAAAAATCTTTGTTTAAAGCAATTTTCTCTTTATAATTTATTATTATTTAATAAAAAATTTCTTATAAATTATAAGAAAACACTTAAAAAGTAGGGAACCCTGTTAAAAGCAATTCAAAAAATTTTAGTTTAGTGGTTGCATATATGCCTATATAAAACTTATTATTAATAAGTTAGGCTTATACATTGCATTTAGAGTAAGGTTGCTGATACTGAACCCTCTAAGAATAAAGTCAAAAATAGAGAAAAAATACAAAGTAGAAACAATGAGACTTTATTGTATTTTATAATAAACTGTTCTAAAAAAATTGAAAGCATAAAAATTGAAAGCACTTTATTGTATTTTAGCATAAACTGTTCTAAAAAAATTGAAATATGTCAAAATTTAAACGTTGGTATTTGATAGGGAACTAAATTTTTAAAAATGTGCTATCAGTACAATTAAGGAAACAAGATCCTAAATCGTACTATTATAATCCAATATTTTAACTATATCTTGATTTTAAAAATACTATATCAATTTACAGTACATTTTGAACAATTTTTGTAAAGATCTTTTTCTCTATAAAATGTATAATGTTTTGTATGTAAAAAAGTTTTGAACTTAATAAGAATTTAACGGATTTTCAAAGTTTTCAAAACAATCGGCATCAAGGCCAATGCCGATGCATCGGTGCACCCCTAATTGAGACTAACATACATTACAGTTTGATAAAAAATGTCTATCAATCATATCATCACTTCCAACAAGGCTGCAAGCAACCACTAATTAGAGTTGAAAGTTATTGAAAGAGAAAAGATGAAGATTGTAGAGCAAGATAACAATTGACAGACGACTTAATGGATTGTAAATTATATGAATCAGGAAAGCAAGGTGAAGGAAGCGAATTCCAAAGAACTGATGTTTGAGGAAAAAAACTAGAAGAATAAGAGTTTTTGGAGCACTTAGGAACAGTCACAGAAAAAGGATGAGACTTTATTGAATGACGAATAAAATCAGAATGAATTTTAGATAGCGCAAGAGACACTAGCTCTTTAAAGCAGTGCCCATTATAGTATTTGTAGAAAAGAGAAAGAGAAGCAATATTACAACAATGTGATAATGGTTGGAGGTTGGCTGCAAGAGCAGGTCCAACTATGTTTAAAATGCGTTTTTTCCCCTTGTCTAAAAAAGAAATGGCATCACTAGAAGATCTGCCCCAGATATGGCAACAGTATTCCATACAAGGCTAAATTTGAGATTTATAGAGATAGAGAATAGAATCTGGGGTAGAAAGTGTTGAGTTTGATGAAGAGATGCAACCTTAGCGGATGCTAATTTTGCAACGGATTTGATATATGGTTTCCAGGAAAGATCAGAACTAAGAGTTAATCCTAGAAGATGAAGGGTAGATGACTCATCGAGTAAATTACAGTTCATAAATATAGGAAGATCTAAGTTATTGCGATAACAATTGGCTAAAAAAATTGAGTTTCATCTGAATTAAAGTTCACAAGCCACTGTGAGCCTTATGTGTAGCAGAAGTGAGATCCTTTTCAAGCTCAAATGCCCCCCTCCAAGCAACCAGAGAGTGTTGGCTTCTTATCATGACAAGAATAAATGGTAGTATCAACAATGCTACATTAGATGTGAGAATATTTGGAAGATTGTTAATGTAAATTAAAAAGCGTATAGGGCCAAGGATTAAACCTTGAGGAGCCCCTGAAGTTACAGGATATGAAGAAGAGTGCTGTCTATCGAGGACAACTTTTATACTACAATTGGAAAGGAAGGATTCAATAATTTTAAAGATGTTACCAGATACACCATAAGAAGAAAGATGTAACCAAGGTATATCATTTTTATGTAACAAGATGTAACATGTGGAAATGCATTGTATTATTGAGTATTGCCATTATATGAAAAAAAATAATCATTGACATTTTATATACATTTTGTTTGTGGGTTTATATACACTCAAAAAGCGAAAAATCTTTTTTTTTAGTTACAAAGCAGAGGTTACGAATTTCATTTACTCATGTTACTATAATTTCAAAGTAACGAATTTCATTTACTCATGTTACTATAATTGAGTAGTTATTTTGTGAATTTCTACTTTTTAAGTATTTTTAAAAATATGTACTTTTACTTTTACTTAAGTATTTTTTTTTTCTAAAGTATTGTACTTTGCTACATTTGAAATCATATGCGTTACTGAGTAAAAAAATTTATTATGTTTAGTGTAATTTCACTAATACTATGATTTAATTTTTTTTATTTTATTCAGTTTTGCTCACTTTAAAAAAAATGACACTTTTAAATTGGTTAGAAAAAAATGTTGAATGCACTCATAACGACTAATAACTACATTAGCTTGGTTTCTTTTCACTTTTTATGACCATAAAAAAATTTTCTGTGCAAAAAAAAAAAAATTATACAGAAAAGAATAGACATGATTTTTGTTTTTTTACTCGACAGCTTTGTTACTGAAAAAGTAACGCAGTAACTTTTACTCTGAGTACATTTTTAATAAGCTACTTTTTACTTTTACTTGCGTAAACTTTTGGATCGATAACTTTTACTTGTACTTGAGTAAAATTTCATTCAAGTAAGAGTACTTTTACTTAAGTACAATTTTTTTTTTTACTTTTTCCACCTCTGTTACAAAGTAACTGATTGAGACAAAACAAATGTATCACTTGCGAATGTTACTCACAGTTAGTATAATTATGTATGCATAACTGAGACATAATATTTCTACAATACACAGCAATATTATCTCTTTCTGAATTTCTAATATATAAAGAGTAATTCAAATAATAATAGACTCAAATATAAAAAAAGTATATATAAAGAGTAATTCAAATAATATTACATCTTTAATTTAGCACAAAATGATATACAAAAATCTGTGTGCATGTTTCATTAATTTTGCTAATATTGTTTACACAAACCAACACTTAAAATGAAGTATTAGAAATAAAATTAGATAAAATTTTAAAATAAAAATTTATTCATGCTTATATACTCGTTTGTATTATATCTATTTTATTTTTAATGTACAAATGTTTCATCTCAATTGGTCACTTTGTCACAAAAAATGAATAGTGTAAATTTGCAACCAAGTGACAATTTTTTGAATTAATCCTTATGATTTATAATTACATATAATTTTTTATGTTACATTACATATCAATTGATTATACTTTTAAAATATATGTAAATTTTAAAAGTGCAACCAATTGAGACATATTGTAATGCAAAACATGCTAAAGATTAACTGAAAAAATTATTAAAAGTAACCAATCGAGGCATTAAAATAAAACTTTTGTACATTAAAAATAAAATAAAACATAAATAGCAATATGACTATGATAAACATTTATTGCTTTTTAAAGTTTATTTAAATATAAGTAAAAAAAGGTAACCTTTGTTACCAAATGTAACAAAGGATTTGAGACATCACGCAACTTAAAAATGTTACAGGGGTTTGTGCAGCATACTCAATAATATTCAAAAATAAATCTTAATAATGAAACATTTAATAATAAATAAAATTACCTGTAACTCATCTTGATCATCTGGATTAGAGTAACCATCAACAGAATCCAAATATTTTGATGAGTTTGACAAGCTATTTACAAGGTTGTAAAACCTTTAAAAAAAACATAAAAATAGTTTCATTAGAAACATTTCGAAAAATGAAAAGAAAGAAAAATAAAGGAAGAAAAAAGTAAATAAAGGAAGAAAAAAGTAAATATACTTGAATGCAAAACAATAACATTTATAAAAACTTATATAAAATACCTTTGCTGATGTTGGCAAGATGAAAAGAAAATTTGAAAATCATCTGAATTTTTCTGAACATAAAGGAACAAACAGCGTGGATCCTTTTTAAATGTGCTAAACAAAATTATTTAATGAATTTATCTTTATAAACATTATCTTATAATAATAATTGTAATTTTTATAATTTTTACACAGTTTTTATAAAAGCCATATTACCTCACACCCCTAATCTCATTGCTACTAAATGTCCAAGAATGAATTTTCTAAATTAATTAGACATCATGGTGTCAACTTCACAATAAGCAAAGCTTGAGTGAAAAAACTAATCAGAAACATAAATAAATGTATAGAGGATGTAATAAAAATGTAATAAGATGAATGAATGAATAAATGAATAGATATAAAGATGAATGAATAAGATATTAACATTACCTTGCAAGTAGCTTTTAGTTTTTCTACATAGTGACACTCAGGTGTAGCATGCCATAATCGTATACCCTTAAATAATGGCTTTAAGATTAACAGAATAAAAAATGAAGAAAATAATGTAAATTCAATACCATTATTTAATAAAGCTGGTGTTGCAAACAGTTCTCAAAAATATGCAAAAAATATTCATATACTAAAAATAAAATAAAATATCTACTATGTTATTAGGTTCATCTGGAAGTGCATCAGTATTGATGGAAATGAAGCTTTCAGAGTACTGATTACCAGGATCTAATATTAATACCTAAACAAAATTTACAGAAGTTAGAAGAAAAAATTCTGTTTTTTTTTTTAATAATTTTGTTGTATTTTAATTTTTCTTTACCGGAAACTTAGTTTCGTTGTTAACTTCCTCAAATAAAGCTGCTTTTGAGAAAAATTCGGACCAAAATCGATATTGCTAAAATATTAAAGCAAATATATTCAACAAGATGAAATATTAAAGAAAATATATTCAACAGGATAAAATAAAATGAATGATGACTACAACAGGTAGTCATCATTCAGATTTAATTAGTTTGTAAATAATTTCAAAAAAATTAAAATGAAGACAAAATTTTTAATAAGTAATATAAAACTAAAAATTTTTTTTACATATAGGGTTGTTGATAAATTACATCATACAGTTTTTGACATTTTCTGACCTCCTCCCCACCCCTCCCTTGTAACACATCTGTAACATTTTATTGCCCCCCCCCCCAATATTATGCAATAATTTTGAACCCCCCTCCTAAATTTTTTTTAAGTAGGTAGAGGAGGAGGGGGTTACAAAATTTTACAAAATACAAAACGATTTTAAATATGTCTATAATTTTCTGAGCTTCTTTGAGTTAATTAATTAGTACTTTTTAGTCTGTTTAATGTTGTTTTTTTTCACCCCAATAGTTACGTGTAAAATTGTATAAATTAACATTGCTATCCTAAACATGATACCAATTTAAAAAACATATTTTTCCGATATATAATATATGCAAATTATTATATACAGTATCGGACAAAATAAGTGCAACCATATAATGCTAATTTAGTTTCTTTATATAAAAGTGCTGCATTTTTTCAATTTAGAGAAATAACTATGTAACTGTTTAGAGACATCGTTCTTAAAGTTTTATTCACCACAAAGTTCATTATTTGTACACGAAAATTAATAAATTAATCAAAAGTATTAAAGAAAGTTGATTTCCTTCTGGACAAAACAAGTGCAACTCCTAAAATGTTGACCAAGCTGTATTTCGCTATCAATATTTCGTGGCAAATCCTTTGTTGTCTATCACAGCCTTGCATCTTCGAGACATAGATTCGATCAGGTGATCAATGAAACTTTGTGGAATCGTTGCCCAGGGTTTTCCAGCCAGTCAACATACACGACAAATGCCTCACTGAATAGGACAGTTTGCCATTTCTGCGCATTCCAGTAAAAATGAGATGTAGCAAACAGGAGTCTTTTCTTCTAGCTCTTTAGTGAAATTAGTGGAAGCTTCTGGATGCGTCTGGATGCTTCTAAATGTTTTTGGATACTTCTGGATGCTTCCAGATGCTTCTTCTGGAAACTTCTGGAAGCTTCTGCATGCTTCTGGAAACTTCTGAATACTTCCTTTAATTATTAAAAAACTTCCGTCACATTGACACGGACCAGACTTAAGAAAATGAAACAAACCAAAAATGTTACACTTGTTTTGTCCGCTGCAAAATCGCACTTGTCAACAAAGTTTTGCCTGTGTGCTGTCAACTGTCAGCTGATTACTCATGTCATGGCATGCTATGACTCCAGACTCCTGAACTGTTTGTGGTGGCAGTATAGTTCGTTTCATTTTTAAGACATGTAAAATTAGGAACACTTTTTAGCATTGTTCGATGTTGGTTGCAAATGTTTTGTGCAATACTGTATATATAAATAATATATGATACATAATAAAATATTATACATGCAAAAATATTATTTGATAAATATAATTTTCTTCCAACTTGCAACGTTAGTGTGGCAGAGTAGATTCTGCTTCAGGCTAGTAAACCAAGGTTTCCAGGTGCTCCTCTTGGCATCAAATTATTATATATTTCTTTAGTTAGTGCACAAAGATTGTTTTTTTGCTGCTGTACACTTTTGTGCAGCAACTAAATAAAGTTCTTCACTTAGAACATATAAAGTCAAAGTGCAGAAGGTGCATTGCTCATAGACTCTTACAGCTGTAACAGTCCATTAACAGGCTGTAACTTTTCAGTTAACCGAGTGTACACATTAATTAAGTAAGATTTAGGCATAGTTGATTTTACAATCAACATGTATATACATCGACTGAGGGTTTGGTCAGGTTACTCTTTTAATTAAAAGAAAATCTTTTCTAGATTTAAAATTAAAAAAATAAAAATGTTGTATCACAAAATCAAGACCCCCCCCCCTCCTCATAAAACAATTGTCACAAAATTGCTTACCACACCTCCCCTCTCCACAAAGCGTGATGTAATTTAAAGAAGACCTCTAAAAAAAATTTTTGCTTTTTTTTTTTTTTTCTTTTCTGTACACTTTTGAATACTTTTTTTTTGTCAGGAAAAAGTCTAATACAGCATTTTTGTCATATTAGAATTTTAGATGTTGTTGGGTAGCAAATAAAAAAGTGAAGAAAATTTTTTTTTTTTGGTATGTTGTATTTTTAGCAGAAACAAAAGATATTTTTATATTTTATAATTCTTAAATTGAATTATTCAATTATTCAACTTGTTTCATTCTGAGCAATCTTTTCAAGCTTTTCATATTTATTTTGCATTTCTTCTTCTTCTTATTTTGCATTTCTTCTTTGTGTGATATAGTAGAGATAAAACAGGAACAAAAGACAGCCATTTGCAATTAAAATTTGAATGAATGAATTTGATACTTTGATCCATTTTAATTGCGTACTTTGCTTTTAAATACGTTTTTAAGTTCAAACAATTATTTACATATATTGTCTTCTTTGATATTTATTTTTATATTATTAGTGTAAAAAAAAAAAAAGCTTAATAGTATTAAACTTTTATGAAACGACTTTTTTGACAGTTCCCACAACCCTCTCTTTAAATAAAATAAATTTTTAAATAGCTGAAACAACATTTTTATTGACAGCTGTCGATAGTAAACACTATTATACTATATGGAAAGTTGAATATTCAAGTTTGTAAATACTTAAATATTTTAAAACTAAAAGTTTTAAAATAAAATTTGAACTTTTTTACATAGATATTTGTATATTTGTTTATCTATATCTATCAGTTATATTACAACAACTTTAGTTAAAAGTTAAAAAATCTCTTAAGTTAAAAAACAGATACGCAATGGAGCACATCTGAAATGATTTTAATAAACTTAATCATTAGCTTATAACTGTATTTCTTAAATAATAAATGGAAGACACTTTTTTAATGTTGATTCTGTTTTTTGTTTTGTTTTTTAATTACGGTTAATTTAAATATATAGGTTACAACAACAATTATTTAATTTTGAAATCTTACATTTTTGAACAATAACGACAACAAAATGCGATAATGTAATAGCATATTATCTACTATATATTCCTAATTATTTTGTCCTAATAGCTTTTTGAGCATCTTAAATAAAATATTTGAGATGCTCAAAAAGATTTTATCATCTTTTGTTGCTAAAAGAGTTTTACTTCATAGTCTTGAAACTGAATCTGATGATCTTAAAGAAAAAGTAATAAAAGAATTGGCAAGACTAACATTACAGACACACAAAATAAAATAATATTGAAAGCAGTTTCCACAAAATAAAACCATATTGAAAGTGTTTCCACTTTCTGAAAACTGGAAATAAAATGAATTAAACCTTTAAAAATTTTCACTTCCCAGAAAGAATGAATAAATGTGCATATAAGAATGAATAAATGCGCATATAAGAATGAATAAATGCGCATATAAGAATAAATAAAGACGCATTTAAGAATGAATAAATGTGCATATAAGAATGAATAAAGGCTCATATAAGAATTAATAACCCTGTAATATGCAAAAGATTTTTGTAACTTTCCTAAATTAGATAAACAGTAAAATGCAAATAAAGAGTTTTTGAATAATAAAAATAAATTTAAAAAACTATATATTAAACATATTGAAAAATCTAATTTAAATTAAACTTTTTAATCAGTAGATGATTTTGTCACTTAATTAAAGTGATTTAATCAAGTGACAAAATCATCTAATGATTGAAAAGCTTTTAAAAATGGCTTACTCTTTATTATATGTTTACATTTAAATATATCTATACATTTTTTTTAATAAAAAAATGTAAAGATATAAATAAATGTAAACAAAGCTAGGGATAAATAAAAAGGAAGTTTTGATGAGGGCTTGAAATCAATATCGATTATTTTTTCACAAATTTATAAAGATTTGCAAATTGCAGAGTATTCATTCAAAGATTTTGTTAAAGTTTTACTTGGAAATGGTGTTCAATTTGTTTTTTCTGAAAAAATATTCCATTTATCAGAGACTTTAACTAAAACATCAATGCAATCAAGTTGCAATTTTCAATTAATTTTTTAATTAAGCTTTAATTAAGTTTTGTCAATTAATCATAATGTTCAATGTAATGACAATATTAAAATTTATAAAAATAAAAATAATTAAAAGTCATCAATTAAAGACCAATATTAAGCTTTACCATTCTAAATTTGTAAAAAAGTAAAAAACTAAAAGAAAAATGGTTATTTTTATAACCACAAAATTTTAAAAACATTACTTTTACATTTATTTAAAAATCCGCTATCAAATTTCAAAACATTATAAACAAACTAGATCAGGACTTTTAATTTTAACTTATTTAAAATATTTTATAACTATTTACACAAATATAATATGAAACTGTTGACCTTTATATTTTTCAGAAGCCAGAAAAAATGAAGTATTAGTTTTTTACAATCAAGAAACTCCCTTCCCTTGTTTTCCTTATTTCAGATCACAATAAATGGGTCTTGTAAGTTTTCTTTCTCAATTTATGTTTTTCAGTAATATCTTTGGCATAAAAAAATGAATGAATTTTACAAGCAATATAAGCAAGTGGTCAAGCAAATTCTAATTAACTTCACTTGATTCTGGATCATTGCAAACTTGTTTATAAAGAGAAAGTACAATATATATTTCAACAGTTTGTATTCCGCAATTCCCACTTATATAGTATTAATAAGGGTATCATCTTCCAAAACTCTGCAGTACAGAAAATTGAAATACACTGTTGGTAATTACTAAAAAATATATTCAATAAGGTATTATAAACTTTTTGTGTATATATCAATTACTTCTTGAGTTATATTTACAGATTCACTAATGTTTGGAAATGACAGATACGTGTCTATTTCCATTAAACTTGCCAACCTAGCTGCCAATCTAAGTGTTTGAGGTCAACAAAAAATTGCCGACCTCGTTTCTATGTTTTATGGTGAGATCTTTGTATCAAATTGGTCAGCAATAACTTTTGCTAATTCTGAGGTCAGCAATAATTTTTGCTAATTCCGAGGGTTGATATATATATATATATATATATATATATATATATATATATATATATATATATATATATATATATATATATATATATATATATATATATATATATATATATATATATATATATATATATATATATATATATATATATATATATATATATATATATATATATATATATATATATATATATATATATATATATATATATATATATATATATATATATATATATATGGTGAGATCTTTGTATCAAATTTTTTTTGCTGAAAGATTCGGCAGTAATTGGTCAGCAATAACTTTTGCTAATTCTGAGGTCGGCAATAATTTTTGCTAATTCCAAGGGTTGATATATATATATATATATATATATATATATATATATATATATATATATATATATATATATATATATATATATATATATATATATATATATATATATATATATATATATATATATATATATATATATATATATATATATATATATATATATATATATATATATATACATACACATTTACAGGATTTTTTTGAATAAAAATGTTATTTATTGGTTTGGAAAAAACTATACTGATAATTAATCCCATTTTTCCCTTTTTGAATGTTTATTGGTTATTTTACTATTGGTTATTTAATCTAAGTTTATTTTATTCTTTTTTCTTAACAATTTCATGTTCAAAAGAGTAATAGTATAACTCAAGCATCACTACAAATGAGATAAAAATAGAAACTCATTATTCAGTCAGGGCCAAAAAAATAGAAACTCATCATTCAGTCAGGGCCAAAAAAAACTAAATACTTTATCTGGTTTTGTCTGTAGAAAAGAAATTTAATTTTTAAAACCTAAAATAATATCAATATAATACAACAAGTTTAAAATTTATTAAATTTATAACATTATTATAAACTTAATAGATTAGAAAGAAAACACTAAAAGATTAAAAAAAAAATCTTAAAAAAAAATGTTATTTCTAAAGTAATAACTTTTTTATGCTTATACAACATTTCTTCAAAAGATTTGTAAAGTATATATTCTTTATACAGCAATTTCATAAAAGCTGAAAAAATAAATATAAACCTCTCGAGTTAATTGACAAAGATCTTCATCTGCAAACTTCATATGCTTTAATAATAGCATGTCTTTCATAAGAGATTGAATATACCAATTTGGTGGATCAAGTTTAAACATTTGCTGACAAGCCAATACAGAGCGAGGAAAATCCCGTGCAAGTATACTTGTTAAAATGAATCGACCTACAATCCAAAAGGATTGTAATGTTTGCAAATGACCTCTTCGACCAATCAATCCATTTAAAGTCATACCTAGAGTAAAAAAATATTTTTGTTTCAAAATAAGCATCTTTGGATAGGCCAAGCTGAAACATTATTTACATAATTTCTTTGTTGTTTGATTTATTAGTATATTCTACAATAATATATAAATATAGAACAAATTAAATCTTATATTAAATATGGTATATAAATATATCAAATATTATAATGAAAATTAGTTAAATATATTCAATTAAATAACTTAAAGTTTCACTCAATAGCGATCATTAAATGTCATTAACAAAAAAAAGATGATGAAAACAAATTATATATAAAATTTTTTTGAAGTGACCACTTTGATGACATTAATCTTCAATTAGAAATTTATTTTCATAGCAACAATTTGGATGTAAGCTCATTTCGTTTATCAAGCAAATTTAATGGTGATGTAATAATGTGGCATTTTTCTGTCAAGCATAAGTTGCAAAATGTACAACCAAGTTTGAATGGCTTGGCTTGGCCAAGAATACTCCATGTTAGGATAAGCTTTAAGTCTTTATTTTTGCATTCCCATATAAAATTTCCATAGTTCAGAGAAGCTGGCCTTACTTTTAGAAAGAAAAGAGTTTCTATAAGGAGGATTAAGCCAGATAATGTTTCGTATTCAAGATCTTGTATTCTATTTTGGGATATTTGGAATGAAATCTATCTTATCTTTAAATCCAAAAGAATGAATTCTTTTGGATTTAAAGATGAGAGCTTTATCATAAAATAGTTTCCTCAAAAGCTTATTTATTTATTATAGATATATTTTTGATGCAGTTAGAGACCATTTTTTGTTATTGATTTAATGACATTTAGTAGATGATTGGAATTTATGTTAATATGTAAAGAATTATTACCTGACTTTCTTTAAGATTGAAAAGAGTTCTTAGAATGAGTAAAATTTACAATTTTTAAATTTGGTCTGAGAGTAATGTTAAGTTTAAATTTGTCTTTATAATTTTAATTAATTTTTTTTTTCCTATTGGGGCCTGCTAAATTTAAAAAAAAACTAGAAAAAACTAGACGAACAAGAGTTTTAAGGGAACTTAAAACTCTTGTTCGTCTAGCTAACAAGGGAATAGTCACAGAAAAAGGTTGAGACTTGATTGAATGAGGAGTAACATGAGAATGAATTTAGTAGATGGTACAAGAGACACTAGCTCTTTAGAGCAGTACCAGTAATAGTATTTGTAAAAAAGAGAAAGAGAAGCAACATTACGAAGATGCGATAATGGTTGGAGGTTGGCTGCAAGAGCAGGTCATAAAAACTAGTGTAGAGCATAAAAACTAAGTGAGCTAAAAACTAAGTGAACTAAAAGAGCATAAAAACTAAGTGAACTAAAAGAGCATAAAAACTAAGTGTACAATGCGTTTTTGTACATTGTCTAAACGAGAAAAGGCGTCATTGGAAGATCTGCCCCAGATATGGCAACAGTATTCCATATAAGGACGAATTTATAGAGATAAAGAATAGAATTTGGAGTAAGAAAGCGTTGAGCACAATAAAAATATGTAACCTTAGCAGATGTTAAAATACTTTTTAATCCTCATATCATTTCCTGAAAAAAATAAAGATTTTTTAGAGTGATAAATAATTTTGATTAATTTATCTGGAATCTTGGTGAATTGTTATTCATGCCTGAAAGAAAGAAGTTGTTTTGGAATTTTCTAAAAAATACATTTCTATAACACACAATACCAAAGAAAAGCATTGTCATCACTCTACAAAGAATTACCAAAGACTGTCATCAATAACTCTTCAAAGAAAATCAATTTTGTTAATGTACAAAATTTATTAGTAAAACATAATAAAACTATTCTTGACCTCGTTTTTTTTTTATCTCTGCACATTTTTCATGATTTCAAAATATTTTAATTTTTTTTGTAGAAAAAGTGTGTATAATAATAATAATAATAATAATATATATATATATATATATATATATACATATATATATATATATATATATATATATATATATATATATATATATATATATATATATATATATATATATATATATATATATATATTTATATGTAAAAGTGTATCTATATATGACATGTCTATATATAAGAATATATCTTATATAACAATATATCTATATATAACAATATCTATCTAGTATTAAAAACAAGTACAAAAATAAAAAAATTTATTTGCAAGCATTTCTAAGATAAAAGATCTTACAAATTCTTTGTAGATCATCAGATTTTGACATTTCATGACCAGCTGCAACAAGTAGTAAAGCTAAGTTTACACCAGAATAATCTGATGGTTGGATATCAAATGAAGCTTTGTACCTGTAAAAAGAAATATATAAATAATTTTATAAAACTCATACTAAACGCAATAGAACAAAAAAAGTTAAGATCACATTTAATAAAATAACTTAAAAAAATAAAAATTTATATAATTTGAATCAGAAGAATGAGATTCTGGTGAATTTAAAAAACTTCCTGTCATAAAACTTCAAATTATTTGATTGTTATACTGGTATCTAAATAGAACTAAATTAAACCTAGCATTTAAAAAGTCATGACAAAAGAAGCCTAGGAATTAAGTAAACCACAAATAAATAAAAAGTAATATACGACAGCAACTTTAATATTTTATTCCACAGTTAACATATCCTTTATGAAGCTTCAGGTGACAAAAAGTAGTTTTTTTTGGGGATAATTGACTTTTTGTCAATTCAACAATCAATATGTTTAGTCATTATTATTAATAGTATTAAAAATCACCTAAAAACAACAAATTATTTTAAATGAAAAAAAATGTGCTGCTTTTTGCTCTTTTGACGGACCAATCAAAAAGTTTTTTGAACATAAGATCAATCAAGTTTTTTGAACATAAGATCAATCAAGTTTTTTGAACATAAGATCAATCAAGTTTTTTGAACATAAGATAGGCAATATTTTTCTTATCTATAATTTTAAACTAACAAATGTCAGAAAACATATAGTATTAAAGTATACCACTTGATAGCCTCATCTCTAGATTTTTCATCTGTATATTGAGAATCGTAATACATGTCTTTATAAATACGCCCTGCTTGAGTAAGCAAATCTGGAGATTTAGGTTCCTTATCATTTAGTAACTAAAAATCAAATATTTTGGGGCTAATTAATTTATTGGGTAAAAATTTATAATATAATTACTATATATTAACTCACTGTATAATTACTTAGAGGACAATATTTATAATATATTTATAAAATTTATAAAATATTTACTATACATTAACTCATTGTACAGCTGCTTAAAGGACAATATTTATAATATATTTATAAAAATTTATAATATATTTACTATATTTTAACTCACTGTACAGTTGCTTAAAGGACATTATTTAAAATATTTAAAAATATATAAAATTACTTTAAGGACAACTTCTAAAGCTTTCTTGCGATTTTCTGGATCTTGACTTCTGAAAAATAAAATACTTAATCATTCAAAACATTCAATAATTTTAATTTAAAAAAATGTTGAAACTCAAAATACCGATTTAGAGCAAAAGCATAAATTTGCTGAATAGCTCGGTTTTGTATTTCAGGATGATCTGGAACACTTTCAACAATTTGAATAACAGACTCATATGACTAAAAAGAATAATAGAGTCGAATGACTAAAAGCAGTTTTATTTACAAAGGTAATAATACAATTTTTTTTTTAATTAAATTGCATTTATGTTTGCATATATATTTAAAATAACTATAACTATATTATATTTGTAACCAAAATTGTTTTTAGTTTTTATTTGTTTTACAAATTTCTTATTTTTATTTGCTTTATTAAATTTAATTTATACTTTTTTGTACATGTATGCAACAACCCATAAAATCAGATATGCAACAACCCATAAAATTATATATGCAATAACCTGTAAAATCGTATAGAGAACAACCCTTAAACCATATATGCAACAAATCACAAAACCAAATTTGCAACAAAAATTAGCATAGAGACTGCAGGAAAAGTCTCTTCATCAAATTAATATATTGATATACATACATATAGATAAAACTAATGTCAACCAAATCCAAAAAGACATTATTTTGTCATTGTTGATCACAGTAAATTTTTAATTTTTACTTTACTGAAACTTCTCTCTTTCATATATAAACATTCTCTCATCATATATATATATACGTTGTTCATTCATAGTTAAGTAGTCATTGCTGTGATATTGATGCATACACATCTTTCAAAGCAGGGCCGGTGCAAGTTGGTTTCATTTGAGGAAGGTTTTTGCTGAATTTTTAACAGAAATGTTTTCCGGAAAAAACCCTTTTTTTTTTATAAAATGATTATTATTTTTAAAACGTTTTAATAATTTGCTTCATTTGAGTCTCAACACAATATAGTTTTAGGAAACTTTTTTTCTATAATAGTAAGGGCCTATTTAATGTTCCAGAGTCAATGGCAACCCCTAAAAATATTTTTTTTTTTAAATTTTTCAAATCCAGTGTTATTTTATAATATAGAAAACATTAAGGGGGTGCGAGCAGATATTTTCCAAAAAAGTTATTTTCATAGAATCATCATAATGAATACATGCAATAATTTGATTACCGAATATATCAAACTTAAACTAATGTCGAGGCTTTTATTTTTAGTGGGATAGGAGTTAAGTTAAAAATTTTTATCTGCATATTTATTTATGCAATGTTTAATTCAACTTTCCTAATAAACTTTTATAGTATAAAATAAATCAGGAGAAACCTTAAGTGCATTAATACAAAATAAGTTTCCTCAATAATATGTCCAAGACTTGAATTAAGTGATCAGGAATTACAACATCTGGAAATATTTCCTGTCATTAAATTCTCAGTTTATTAAAAACCCTGAACATTGTTTTAATGAAATGGTCAATTATTGTAATGCAAAATTAATGAAATAACAAAACAATAAATTTACTACTGCAAAAATAATAACAGTCAAAACTTACATATTTTGAATTGTTTGTTAAACACCAGGCAATTCAAGGATTTTAAATTAAAAAAAAATAAAGTTGTTGGAATTAAATAATAAATACTAAAGGTCCAAAAATTTTGTGCTGTAATTTAAAAATCCACTAATAAAAAATTATACTAAAGCTAATTGCACATTGTATAAAACATAAAAATTGTTTTTTGTTTAGGGAGAAACTTTGAAAAATAACTTATTATTTAAAAATTTAACTGTTTTAAATTAGAAATTAATTAACTGATTATAAAAATAATATTTATTGTATTTTTGACCTATTGTTTTTTGGATTGACTTATAATTACGTCTTTTCCCGTATGTATTTTATTTATTTGTTGTTAATTTGAATCAGAGCAGAATTTAATCAACCGTGGCGCTGTGACTAGAGCGCTGGCTTATAATTGAGAGGTCCAAGACTTGATGCATTGCCTAGATTTCACCTTAAATGCTCTTCCGCACAGCTCTACGACAAAACCATTAGGTCTTGTTGGAATTAATCTTAATAAATTAGAACCTTAGTAATAAGAAAAGAAAAAAAAAATCATTTTCTAACATTTGATGTAAATGGCGGTATTTTATTATCCAAGGAGACCTAACTGTCTTATCGTAGAGCCACGAAAGGGCATGAAACAAGGATGTTTACGCCTCCTCCTGTACCAATGTTGCTTATCTGGCCTTTTTTTTTTATAATTTTACTCTCGAGTCCTAATACAATTTGGAGGAAACGGTATAAACACAGACTAGTAGGTTGAAATGAATATCGCCTATAATCGGTTGAAAATCAAATTATCTCAAATCAGTTAAAAATAAAGGTCTCTAAAATCGATTGAGAAAAAAATCGGTCAAAAATGAAAACGTCATAAATAGGTCGAATTAAAAAAAGACTATAATAGGTTGAAAACAATTTAGGCCTCAGTAGGACATCTAAAAATTAATACTACTTTTTAGTAGACATTTTATCTTGTAGATCAAGTTTGTAGGTTCACGTTTTTGTAGGTTGAGCAACACGCTAAAGAGTTACAAACATTTAATTTATAAAAAAATATTGAATAAGATTTAAATAAGATATAAAAGTAACTTATATCTTATTTTGCGATTTTTTTAATTAAAATTTTTTGATCACTGCTAAATTCCTTCAGACTGTTGTGATTTGCTGGGTTTTTTGATTGTACTGATTGATATGCTTTATTTTTCTAGTTTTATCTGATGATTTATAAAATGAATTAAAATATTAAAGTTTAAACCACAGTTTTTAATAATGATAAAAATAATAATAATAAAAATAATAGTAATAACATGGTTTTATAATTAGATTTTATATCATAATTCAAGATAAATATAAATATTTTTTATTGAATAACAACTATTGAGTTTAGTGATAAAAACAGAGTTTACACTTTTTAAAAAGTTAAAAATTTAACGACTGGAAGCATTCCCAGATATCGTAATTCGCTATCACTTAATTTAAGCCCTAATATTTTTTATTGAAACTTTATCATCTATTCCAAATCATGTTTATTTTTCTGAATAAACATGGTTTTACAACTACCAAACCAAAAAAAAATCAATCAGTTTTATAATGTCATTTTTTCCATTCACTTTTATATTATATTAACAAAAGTGAATGTTTTAAATTCTGATTTATGTGTCTTTTATATTGTTTGTGACAATGCAACTAATTTGAGATAATTAAGTTTTAGTTTACTTTATTAAAATAAATTTGCAAAACAGTAATTAATGCTCTTTATAAAACAGTAATTAATGCTCTTTATAAAACAGTAATTAATGCTCTTTATAAAACAGTAATTAATGCTCTTTATAAAACAGTAATTAATGATATCTCTTTATAAAATATTATGGATTGATTTACACTCTTAGTGACTTTTTCTTGTAAGATGTTAATATTTGGGCATCATAGCGTATAAAAGTCAATTTGCCATAAAACTGTAATTAATGAGTTTTAATTGTCAACTGACGATATATTAATTTTAAAAATGCAACTTTCAGAACTACTGACAGTAGATTATACAACCATTTTTCATTGCAGGAGAGGCAGAGTTAAATTTTTTTAACGCTTTTTACAAAAATTCTGATAGTGCCTTTCAATCATAAGTATCAAGGTTCTTAAAAAAAAAAAAAGGTTCTTGAGTGATTAAATAGCTTATTTCTAGTAAATGTCAATTGGACTATTCTTCCTAATAGTAAAAACAATGATTTCTGTGAGAATAGTAAAAACAATGATTACTGTGAGAATTCAAAAACAATGATTTTCATATAAAATTAATATTATTTTTCTCCTTGCACAAAGTCATATAAAGGTTTCATCAGTAATTTGTGTGTGTGTTAGTGAATTAAAGAATGATTTGTCACTATAACTATATCATTTTTAAAAACAAATTTTATCAAAACATACACCCTTAACTACGTTAGTTACTGCTATTGTGTTACTTTATTCTGTGTTTCTATTGTGTTCAGAGAAGAATAAATGTTATTCTTCTTTACAAAAAAAAAATCTTTAACAAAAAACAAAATAACAACATAACTAGCATGTCAATGATATAAAATAATTACTAAAAAAAGCATACAATTTTTAAATACCTGAATATCTCTGTATGCATATAACAGATTTAGAAGAATATCAGAAGAAAATAAGGCTGGTTCATCAACTCGCTTTTTAAGACAGTCTAATTCCTAAAATAATTTTTGAACTAGAATCTCATTAATACAATATTAAGCAGACAAAATACTGCAGTAGTAAACAATAACAATATTATAATAATAGACTGTGCATATTATAAATGGGTACCATAATTCAATATACTAAACAACTTGGTTTTACTAAACAAAAGAGCAGTTTGCTGACTACAAAAACCATTAGAAACTGTGAGAAAGTGCAGCCCATTTGTTTACTATTTAATTTTTTTTTTTTAATGTTAGTTTAGCTCCCCAAGGACAAGAAGAACACTACAGTTGAGGTACTTGTTGTAGTAGTACAGTGATCAACTTAGGGTTGAGCACAGTACTTCTTTTGAAACTTCTTGCTTATGAAGAAAGCGCCTTACCACTTGACCACTACCGCATAGTTACTTTTTTATATACATAACCATTTTAACTTCTAAATATTTAATAAGTGTAATTGGGTAAAAGACATAAATATGTCTTTTACCCAATTGCACTTACTGCAGATTAAGCAAAATTTTATTTGGGGTTTGAGGTGGCCTTTTTGTGCCGCCCTGATAAGTGTGTTTTATTTGGATTATGATTTTAAATTAAATTAAAGATTCAACACACAATGAATAAAACGATATGCATCAAACTTATTAAAATATAAAACTATGTTACTTATAAAAAGTTATATAAATACCAGTTTCAGATCAACACCAGTCAGCTTTTCTCTAGCTTTTCGTAAATCACGTAGAAAAATTTCTTTACATTTTGCTTTACTTGTACCTTGAACATTTCGTAAAGCTCTTAAAAATGCAGTACTCAACTTTTTGGGGCAACTATCTTTGAACCCACAATAATTAGTGACTGTACAGTTTAAACCTGCCATTAATTTATATGAGATAAAAAAATATCCACTGCATGACAGCTAAACAAAAAATATCAGCCAATTATTTTTTAATAATTAATAATCTGTACAAGTAAATATTTAAACAAATTAGTAGAAAATCACTTAAAAATTTTTCATTCAACACTGTTAAATAAATTTTGAAAATCACTTAACAAAAATTGTATTAAAAAAAATTTTTGTTAAGTGATTTTCTACTAATTTATTATTGCTCTGTTCTTTTAAGAACATTGAGCACTCTGTTTTGCAGAATAAATTTTAAAATTGTTCATATATATGAATATAGAAATATATGCAAAAAATATACATAAAATATAAGCACATATAAAATTCAAATCTATTATGCATATTTTATAATATTATGCATATATTATAAATATTAGGCATATACTATAAAATTTATGAAAGTATGATGCTTATACTAAAATTATATTTTAATAAAAATAAAAAACCTTAACACTAGTTGTTTTATCAGATGATACATCTTCAATAATCACAATATTGTCTTTCATGCCAGTGCTTTCTCTAACTCCTAAGTGGTAAAATAAAGAAGCTTGTTCATGAAGTACTGACATATCCACAATACAAACATCTGCATTGTAAAATGTATCTAAAACATCATAACCACCAAAATCTAGATTCTCAAATTTTAATTCTTTTAGCTCTACATTAATACTTTCACATACTTTACTGAGTTCTGACAAAGATCTTTGTGGCCCTTGTTTGTCTGAAAAAACCGCAACAACTGTTGTGCATCGCTTGCTTTGTAGCTTTTGAAAAGATGAAAAACTTAAAGATGAACTAAGACTATGTTCATTTTGGTTATCTTCATCAACTGATGATTCTTTTGAAGATCTTCTGCTATCTTCAAAATGATTTGTCTCAGAAACATAGTTTGTTGAATCTTCAGCAGAAACGTTATTAGCAAGTTGAAATGAAGATTTTACTAAAGTACTGATTCCTTTTTGTTTTGAAGTTTGTTTAATTTTAGACTTAAGTTCTTTTATGTCGAGTAAGTGTGGCATGGTCAGTTCATCTTTTTGAGAACACTTTCTGAAATAGATAGGCTCATAATTACAACTAGAAGACATTATTTAATAAGAAGTAAAACAAAATATTAAAATTATGTTTATTTCTTCAATTCTTATGTATATAAACAAATCAGTTTTGAAATTCAAGAAAATCCTATTTATTTGTTTATATTTAAAGTGGATTAACAAAAAAAATCAAAAGTATATTAACAGATAAGTCAGAGAAAACAAAAAAACAATCAATTTTATGACTAAAGAAAACACATTCTATAAAAATAAAAATAAAAATCTTCAAACAGCAGGATATTATTTCAACAATTAAAAATTTTTCTAGTTGCAATAAAAAAAATTCAAACAAAAATATTAATCCTTAAATTAAAGGAAACAATTCAAAAGTAAAAAAAAAAATCATTTATCATCAAATACAAACAGATTGAATTTAAACAATATCTAATAAAAGAATTTAATTATGTAATTATGTTATTCATAATTAAAAATAACAATAAAACTAAAGTGTTAAAAAGCTATACTGTTATTTATTTTAAAGGAAATAATGAAAAAGTAAGAAAAATTAAATCATTATCTTTAAATACAGCAACTGATTGAATTAAAACAATATCTAATAGAATAATTTATTTATGTAATCTTATTCATAATTAAAAATTATGTTAAAAATTAAGATATTAAAATTTATACCGTTATATAATAATAAGATTACAAAAACTTTTGACATTTTTTAAAATGTTGTATTTATAAAGGATTTAAATGTTTAATTTTTTTTTTATTTATGGCTTTATGATTTCATAATTTTAATATTAGTTATTTATATTTATAATTTTAATATTGGTTATTTATATTTATAATATTAATATATACTTTTATGATTACTTTGTAGAATTAATTCTACTTGTAATTTTTAATAATAAAGAATTTCTTTAACAGTAAATAAAGAAAGTATTTAAAAAAAATTTTTTTTAGTTTAAAGTATACATTTTTAAAACAAAACTCATTTCAAACAACTTCTTTAGGTACTATAAATTTATTTAAATTTTTAAATACCATATTATTTTGATTACAAATATCAAGTATTTGTTTACATAAAAACCTAACTGATGTTTTTAAATGATTTAATTTAAAATGAAACAATAAAAATACATTTTTGTGTGTAAACATTTACATTAGAGTTACATTCCATTTAAGTAAAAAAAACAACAAAGAACAGACAGTTTACTTTTCTTGAGAAAATATTTAAAAAACTTTTTCTATTTTTCAATGTAAAATCAAAATTTAAATACTTTAATGATGTATAATTTTGATGAACAATATCATCATAATAAAACAATTAAAAATTATGAATTTGACAACGTTACAAGAACGTAGGCTGCAAGGTGATTTAATACAAAATTGAGCATAATTTAGATTCACAATTTATTAATTGGATACAAAAAGTTCAAAATATGCTCTCAACCTGCATCAGCACAAATTGAAAGTTTGAGTAAATCTTTTTATAAAAGCAAGTATAGATTTATTTTTTAACAGAGTAACTAATCCATGAATTAACCTTACTGATGAGATCATAGAAGCTGACTCGGTTGACCAATTCAAGAACTACTTAGACAAATTTTGTAGCAATAAGAAACTATAATTTTTCAAAAATTAATAATAGCCGTTACAGTACAGTATCTTATGTTATTGTACTACACATCTGTTTTCAGTTGTTACTGTTCTGACTTATTATAATTATTATAATACAAAAGTAAACTTAAAATTTTTTCAAAAAATATTTGTGTTTAAGAGCTATAGTTGTCATGTTAACAGCCTCATTGTTTTTTAGGTAGACTTTTTTCAAAAAATTAAAAAATCTTTTTGTCCTCATAAATAACTTTAGAAAGCCTAAATTTTAGGGTTTACATTTTAAACTTAAATTAAAATGGCAAACCCTAAACTTTAGGCTTTTTTCCAGCCTTTAATAACCATGATTTTACTGAAACATCCTTTATTCATATTAAAAACATAGAAATATTTGGTATTTATACCAATTGAATAATCTATCGTGTCCATGAAAAAAAAAATTCATTCTTTAAATAAATTATATGTAAACTATGTTAATAATATGCAGATAAATAAGACCAAGCAAAATATATTAAAGATACAAATTTACTTTACATTTTTAATGAAACAGAGCTTTACACTAAATAAACACTCTTCAAAAAGTTTACTAATAAATTATTACTGCAGTAATTTAAAAATAACATAAATCACGGTAAATAAAAAACTTTATCTCTATCCTTTATAGAAAAAACTATCCTTTATAAAAAAAATTCATAATACTTTATTTATTATTTGACTTATCATAAATGATCTGAAATGATGCAAGCTCATTAAAATAATAACAACCAAAACAAATTTAAAGATGATGCCAGCATGGAAAATAAATTATTATACAACCAAAACTTGAGTATGCATCAGAAGTATTGATATAAATAATATATAATATATATTATTTATATCAATACTTCTGATGCATACTAATATATATATAATATATATTATATAAGTTTAAAAGATTTGCGATTAAATTTTAGAGATTTAAAAGGCAGCTTTCATAAACAAATTTACTGATTTTAATATCTTAAAAACAAGATGTTTTTAAAACCAAAAACTTGTATTTTTTAATTGTATCGTAAAACTCACAAAATTTAGTTTTTGAATTTTTAAAATTGTAAATAACAACATATGGAGGTGTGTGTATTACAAATAATTGTTTTTATTAAATCTACCATAAAAATTATATAAAATTGTATACGATTTAACTGTTAAATAGAAAAATGTATTTTTTATTATAATTTTTATAAACTTTTTTCATGAGTTTATTTACTACAATTTTTTAAAGCATCAATTTATTTCGAAACAACTAATCGTATAATCCAAGGAGGTTTAAAGCTCCTTGGTATAATCACTTTAGGAAGCGTAAAGTACAAAATTATATATGTTGTTATAAATAACGGCGGTCAAAAACAAGACTTCCGTACTCTACGTGAACGGTAACTTGATCCTTATTGTGTGGGTTCGTTTTTCTTTTTTGCTTCAAAGCAAGGTGTTTATAACTTGGTTGTGTAAATAACTTGAAACATGTACATAGCCTCTAACTGTAGGGTTTATGATTATTTATGATAACAAAAAAAAAAAGACCATATAAGTAGAAAATATTATTTTAACTAATAATTTTGAATTATTTTAGCAATTAATTTCTTTTCCCATCTTTTTTTTCTTTCTTGGAATTTGTCTTTTAATTTTGTATTTTAGTTTAACATTTTGAAATTTATATTTATATAAAAAAGCATTTTATGAACATCTTATGAGTTTATAAACTTAATTATAAACTCATAAGATGTTCATAAAAAACTTAAATTTTTATTTAAACAGATATAACGAACTCAGTTAAAAAGTTTAATTACAATTTGACTTGGGAAGAGTGTTTTATATTTTCCTAATAATATATTCTTTTATATTAATTTAACTTTAATTGAAACAACCGCTTTTCATAAATATCTCCGACGGAGAAAGGAGATTTTTCAAAGCGAGGCTGTGTTTATCACAATCAAAACTGCATACTCGATGCAACTAGGGCATGGTACACGTTTTTCCGAACAAAAATATAAGTTTTTTCAATTACAATATATACAATTTTTTTCATGAAAAAGTTTAACATATTTGGTATGTATGGAAAGGTTATTTTAACCACTATTATAATAGTGGTTAAAATAACCTTTCCATACATACCAAATATGTTAAACTTTTATAGCGACTATAACAAATCGTCAAGCGTAGTTTTATTTAGAAAAGATACAGTTTTCAACATAAAGTACCTTGGGGCTTGGCTTAACATAAAGTTATTTAGAAAAGATACAGTTTTCAACATAAAGTACCTTGGGGCTTGGCTTAACTTGGGGCTAAACTTATCTATAAGTCTATGGATTTGATTTTTTTCAAAAGCACGTATTTGTGTTTGTTTTCAATGAATGTAACCTGATATTTCAGACATTGTTTGAGAAAACTATTTATAAAAAATCATTTTTTTATAAAAATTGAAGATATTTTTTTCAATACCACACCTAAATGAGTATGTTTAACAATAATGTCGCGTTAAATCCATATAACCTATGGTAGTATTATTTTTTCTACAAAAGTTGTTTTGCATAAATAATCATAACTTTTAACCCCATTTAAAAAACTGTTTTCGGTATTTAGTAATATTTTTTAAAATACTCAGGACTTATTCGGCCATCTTGAAATAATAAATTATTCTATTCCATGGCCACTATAGTAGGCTATGTTTCATTCAGAATGCGTAATTAAAAAACAAAGACGGTAAACTTTATAAACAAAGTAATTTTATTTTCAATCTTGTTTCATTTTTATATCAGTGGTAAACATTAATTGATATTTGATTTCTTTTATTTTTGTAACAATAATTTATAAGTAACATAAGTTATTTTTAACTTATTATTGTAAAAGCAGTTATATCTTAGCGCTTAAAATATAACTGTTTTTATACGACCCTGCTATAGCAGAGACGGATCCATGGATTTTTTGATATTTGAGTTATATAACTTCCAGGCAAGTTTTAAACTCCAAATTTTTGTATATTTATACTTTAGTTATTTAAGGATGTTTGTCCAAAATTTGCGCTGATTAGAGCTTGGGAACAAAAAAACCCTTTAAAGGAAATCACCCGCCCAAATGAGGGGGAATCGGTTTTTTTAAATATAAATTATAATATCCTAAATTAGGTGGTAATATCGTTATGATTCTAAATTTTTTTTGAAAAACATTGTGTTGTTAAGAAATTATACATAGTTTAAATTTAAAACCCCCTCGTTTTGAGGGGGCTCTAAACTTTAAATGGCTATAACTTTTGACCGCTTGATGATTTTTATAGATATATATTAAATATAGATATATATAAATATTTTTATAGATATATATTAAATATAGATACACATTTGAATTTTATTAAAAGAAGTAAATTTTTATTTCCGAAAAATCATTTCCCCTCTCATTTAGGCAGGTGATGCCTACTTTTTAGGGTTTTTTTGTTCCCAGG